TCTTGCTACCATGGAAAATGCCCTGACACAACATGTCTTAGGTAGTAGAAGATTCGGTTCTTCCCAAGGATCTTCCTTGCTGGACTTAGTGCTTTCTCATGACAACGACGACGTGGATGGTCTAGTTATTCATCCACCCCTAGCAAACAGTGATCATGGGGTGTTAGATTTTAACTTAAGGGCTGACAATTTAGCCAGTTTTCAACCCAAATCCCGATCTAGTGTTTGGCATGCTGACATATTCGCTATAAAGGAGCGTGCTTCAACTGCCGACTGGTCAGTCAATATGGTCTCATCCATTGAAGATGAATGGGATAGATTTAAGAATACACTTGAGACGGTTACCACTGATTTCATTCCCTGGAGGGTTCCTAAAAGGCCAACAAATCGGCCACCATGGATAAATAGACAAGCTATAACACTCCTAAGACGGAGAAAAAGGTTCTGGAATATCTTTGTTTCTACTGGGCTACAGCAGTTTCGGCTGAAATACTGTGAAACCAGAAACCAGTGTAGAAGCTTGATTCACCAGTCAAGGATAGCCTACGAAACCCAGTTAGTTAAAAGTTCACCAGGCTGCCCAAAAAGACTCTTCTCATATATCAAGAGAAGAACACGTAAGAGTGATGCTATCCCACCTCTTATGCTTGAAGATGACCAGACAAACATGGCTGAGGATAACTTGACTAAGGCTGAGGCTTTGTCCAAGCACTTTAGTCAAGTATTCTCTGATAATATTGATATCAGCTTTGTAACTTTTCCAGAAGGTAACTTGAAAATGGCACCCTTATACATTGGAAAGGATATTGTCCTAAAGTGGCTTCTTAGGCGCAATCCTGGTAAGTCCAGTGGCCCTGATGAACTCCACCCACGTGTATTAACAGCGTTGGCTGAAAACATAGCCGAGCCATTGTCGGTAATCTTCATATCACCAATATGTCTCTGGACCAGTCTAAATGTCCAAGAGACTGACTGGAAAGATGCTATCATTAGTCCGGTCTTCAAAACCGGATCTAGAAACTTAGTTCAGAACTATCGTCCTGTTAGTTTGACCAGTATTGTTGTTAAACTACTAGAAAGAATAATTCGTGATGCTATCATTCAGTTCATTGAAGGGAACAAACTTTTCGCTGTGGAACAGCATGGTTTGAGAGCAGGTCATTGTTGCTTGACCAACCTTCTTTTGGCCAGAGAAAGTTGGGCAAGCTCAGCTGATGCTAATATACCGGTGGATGCCATATTCATCGACCTTAGCAAGGCGTTTGACAGGGTTTCTCATTCAGGTCTTCTAGTAAAGTTAGGTAGTCTGGGAATCAATATAGTGGTTACCGACTGGATTCAAGACTTTCTAAAGGACAGAATACAAAGAGTACGAGTTAACGGGGTTTTATCAACATGGGAATCGGTTAAGAGTGGCGTTCCTCAGGGTACAATTCCTGATTTATGTTAATGAGATTCCATCGGTAGTTAAGTCATCCGGCTTACTGTTTGCTGATGACATCAAGATATGGAGGGCTTTACACGATGACAGTGATCAACTTGCTTTGCAGGAAGATTTAAACTTGTTAAGTGATTGGTGTAAGCACTGGGCCTTGGAGATTAACTTAAGCAAGAGTGTAGTCATGCATGTATCTCATGGTCACGTGCACAATTACCCAATGAATGGCATTACTCTCCCAGTGGTCACTGGGTACAAGGACTTGGGAGTGGTTGTGCAGCATGACTTGAAAACAGCAACAAACTGTAGAGCTGCAGCCACTAAGGGTTTTCGAATATTATGGGCCATACGCAAGGCCTTTGCGAACTTTGACGCTGATATATTTCGTATATTATATCCGACTTATGTCAGACCTAATTTGGAATATGGGATCCAGGCAGCGAGCCCGTGTTTCAAATACGAAATAGACTTATTAGAAAGGGTGCAAAGAGTAGGAAATAAGCTAATAAAGGGTTTCTCAACGCTTTGCTATGAGGAGAGGTTAAGTCGACTGGGTTTATTTCCGCTGTCATACAGACGACTTAGGGGTGACCTAATACTAGCATACCGTATCCTAAGAAATGATTTTAGAGCTTATTTATCTAATTTATCTCTTCCTTCCAGCACCAACCAATTGCGAGGACATCACCTCAAGGTTCAAAAACCACGGTCGAATCGTCTGAGATTGGAGATACGTTTTTCGCATCGAATTGTTAACCATCGGAACTCCCTACCGGAACACGCCGTATCAGCGCCATCCGTTGATTCATTCAAGGCGAGATTGGACCTCCTGTGTAACCACAAGCATGTAGCCTACTATCATAAATAAATTGTAAAATGTAAACTGAAAACTATATCTAGATATCCCTAAATTCTTTGATTTAAATGTTGAAATGAAATCGTCACTGAAATCTCAGTATGACCGAAAGCGAATTGTTTCTTCACTTTCAATTTCCACTATAATTTCTGGTTTACCTAAGGCCAAGATGACATTATCCGGTGAATAAGATTTGAATATGGTGTTCAGATACGTCATCCTTCCTTTAGTAAACTCAGCGCCTTAAGTACCAACTTCTTTTGGTACATGCTTGACACCTGTACTTTTCATTAAGTACACGTGCTCAAGATAACGCTGAGCTACCTGCTTAGCCACAGAATATCCGCAGTGCAGTGACTCTCTGATCTTAGGCATACAGGATTCGAAGGGTAAAGCACTGCATCCTTCTAACGGCTCAGGGAGCTCAAAGTCATCCGCTATATGTTTCAGAGAATGAATATTGTAAACAATATGTTCACTTCCGAAACAATTCTCATATTGCAGTAAGAAATTAGGCTTCAATCTGTCCGAGCAGCATCCAAAAGCAGTCGACTGTATTTGGTACTCGACAGTAAGTATACTGCCAGGGATAGTCTCCGCAAATTATAGTACAGGTGTGGTGGCAGAGTGTTCCTGAGAAGGATGGGACCCAAATATAATAGGAGAAGTCTACCCTCCGTTGCTTTGCATTGGCCAACCTCATCTAACGACTTATATTTCCTCTGAAAATTATAATGAATGTGATTCCTACTTCTAAGTAGGAACCATATTCCTTGCAGTCCGTTATTAATATCTGCAATAACTTTACCCTGCCAAAGGAACACCAACTTCTTAACAACACCAAGGGTATAGAAGATGCACTTGCTCCAAAGGAAATGATTTGATCATGTCAAGTGGCAAGTCCTCAAGACAAGTTCTGCCCCGATGGTGACTTACTTCAACCTTACCATGGAATGTATTATCATTTCCCAGGGTATGGTTCCCATTAGGAAATGTCATCCTAACCTCCAAACGAAAATCGATGACTTCACACTTATCACCACCTGTTTTTCCATTGTGACCTACAGTTTGTTTTACATTACAATGAGCAAGTGTGTCACATATAAACGCTAGAACACTGACAGACACACTCCTACCACACTTGTCAACGTATCCACCGTTTTTACAAAGATCCTTCAATTCATCTAATAGTTCCCTAGAAACCTGATCGAGGTCATCCCGTTTTACAAACCCATCATGTCTGCCAATTAAAAAAACGTCACTGAGGTATGGAGTCGTGATATGACTTAGGAATGGCCACGACTGCTGCGAAGAACTGTTTGATATGGATAAACCCATCATAGTTGATTCGCACGTCAACACGTTGAAAAGTTCCATTGTCAGCCAAACTATCTAGATAACGCTGCAGATTTTCCTTCAGTCCCATATGATAGTAAACAGCTTGTCCAAGAAATGTAGGTACACATATGTCGCTGTCTTTTAGCAAACCTCTTATGGTTGTTGCCACATGTCTATTAAATTTACGAATACAGTCCAATATTTCTGGCGCACCAACTCCTGTTACATCTGATGATAGTAACAATTCCATGATGAACTTTCTGAGCAGCTCTACGTATGCCACTTTTTCAGGAACAACCTGAAGTTCTATTAAAAATATTTATTACATAATAATGCATATTACGGTCCTCCTCAGTTTATGAAACAACAGTGATGGCCTCACTAGTACTAGGTATACCCACTGTTCCCTGTACAGTTGAACTTGAAAGCAATGGTACTGTATTATCCCTTGGCACCTCTTCACTAGATGCGCAGTAACGTTTCCAGAAATCTCAGTCACTAAAAGCTGCATCAAGTAACCATTTTTTGACGGCGGTAAAATGTGGAGTAGCTGTATCCAAGGCATTCATGCAGTTTGCCGGAAGATCTTCACTAGCTAGTGAAGTCATATCCTCCTACTTCATACACTTATTTACTTTCCTGAACTGAAGGGTTTCTCAATAAACCTTTCACTTTTACATTGTTATTTTCTCCTGATAACTTTGATTATCCTGCAGTATGGTTTATTTAAGAGTAACTTTTGTCTACATGGACCTCGTTGGTGGCTCATCGGTAGAGAGAGCGTGAGCCGGTGTTTGAGTCTCCACTGGCGCACACATTTGTCTAAATTAGCTGGTTAAAGTCTGAATAGTAGAGATCTCACGCATCATCCTATTTGTCTCTTGTCAGTTGAATGCATCTCACTTCAAAAATAATGACAGATAATGGTCGCTGACTAAGTGCTAGATATCCTGGGACAAGTGGTCGACGCACACCAGCTAGCATTTCTTTCGGGCGCACAGACTTACTTGGGACAAGGCCTCTAAGCATGCTTGAACAATCTACAATTTTCCTGATGCCTGCATCAAGAATTATAAGATGCGCCTAAGTACTGAAAAGATAATTCTGTAAAGCGCCTTAAATTTCCAAGGCTGACTAAAGCCAAGGACTACGAGGCAACGGATACGTAATGAAACGTTAGTCGCCAGCAAACATAGAGGCAAACCTCTTATGTACACAGCTCTTCTCAAAAACAGCATACTGGCAGCAGATCAACAACTTACGATACTAGAAAGCAGTAGAGTTTAATGAAACATATATTTAATATTCTTGGCGAATGAATTTACAATGCTTTGACATATCATAAAAGTCAAACACCATATAAATCACCAGAAACATTCATCCGTGTGCTTTATGCATCTGGTCTGTTCGTACGATTAATGCAACAGGTGTTAAGTTTGAGTCGTATTAGGTCACTTGGATTCACGAACCTCCAGTTGATGAGTTTCGAATGACAAGAGAACCCAATCCATGGACTCCATAGACAACTAAAACTGAATGACATCGAAGTAGAAATCAGGCATAGGATCATAAACCTTCAGTTTCTTCAATTCATTTAAGTAAAATCAACAATGTGAAATGATAATAATTACCGATAAATAATTGTATTTTCATTTAGCTACTTTATCACTAAACAGTAGTAAGTTTCGTAATTTTAAATTTTTCTTGTTCATGGTTCTGTTAGCGTGTAATTTGCTATTCCTGGAAATTTGTTGTTAAACAAGCTTGACATCAACTGTTGATGCAAGCACCACCGGTGAATTCGAGTGGTATCCATCTACTCATATCAGTCAATCAGCAGTGCATGGCATCAAGAAGAATTTCAATCTATCCACTTATAATACCTCATAATTCAGGAAATCTTGACAAATAGTGTCGAAACAATTATGGAGGTGTCACTGTAATTGATTATAAAATTTAGGGAACTTTGTTTCAATAGTTAGCTCATGAAAAACAATAAAAAAAATGAAATGTTGAGTTAATACATCTGTGTTACTCAAGTTGCATGCAACAAGAGCTGGAGTAAAATCTTACCCCGCATACTGCATACTACATGAAGCAGGCATATTCCTACATTATATATAATTATGCCTTTGGGTTTCCAGTGGAATATAGGGCCTCAACGGCGCATTTCAATTTCTTTTTCAAATCGTAAAGGATACCCATCAGGATATTAGAAAGAAAAGAAAAAGAAGTTCAGCAAACTGATATCTTTCCGGAGATTTCATTTTCAAAAACGGCTGTACAGTCGCATTTATATACTGTACTCTTTCTAGAATATGTGCCTCCTTTTTGGAGCATGGACTCGCCGCTTGTATGCAGTATTCTTGACGAGGTCTGACATATGTTGCATAGAGTACTTGTAATGTACCCTCGTCTAATCGTTTGAAATCCCTTCGAAGTGTCCATAGCATTCGAAAAGCCTTAGCTGCGACTCCATTACAATTTGTCGTTGTTTTTAAGTCATGGTTTACAATGCTTCTTAAGTCCTTTTGTCCTTTAATATATGGGAGTACTGTGTAGCTTTTGTGTTACATTTTGTTTTGATACGATTGCAGTTGTACTATTACGTCTGCTATTTGTTTTAATGGTCTTCGTTGTTATTTTGTCCTTGAGTATGTCCTTTTAACTTGACCTAACTCTATTTTCTCACCTCTCACCTTTTTATTGATTTCAGATATATTCCTATGACAAGTCCGTGTGTGATCAGATTGTTCGAAATGTGTTGCGCAAATACATTACCGATTCAGACAAATTACCTGTTCTTATTGCTTTGTCTAAATTCATAAAGTGAACCAAATTGTTTTGAATAGAAACAATTATTATTTAATCCTACATAATAACGACAAAGAGGATTATAGGGGGTAGTAATTTTCAACTTGACGTGCAAGTCTTAAGGGGTGAATACCGATTACAAGGGGCTTAGAGACAAGATTACACAGGATTGGAACAAAGTTGCAGTGTATGTTAAATAGGTTGTTTTTTTATTAAATGCAGGTGGAAACAAGTTGAGATAATAGTTGTTTTGTTGTTATTTTATATATTTATTTATTTACTTTCCTCAAAATAACTGGAGTAATAATCTGAACTTGATATGAAAGTTCAGGGTTACTAGGAGCTTCGAAACAAAACTGTACATGATTGGAAAATAGTTTTTTTAACGACTAAAGGTGTGGATGGGATGAACATGGGAACAAGTTGAAAGAATAATATTTTAGAAAGCTGGAGATTAAAAGATAAAAAAGAAAAAAGGAAAATGAAGGGAGCGTAAAAAGGGGACCTAAGGAAACAAACTGGACTAGTCCAGCCTTTACAACTACCATGGATCTAGTTCGGTAAGTTTGTTTCCATGCTCCTCCTGATCACACTTGTAATCCGTTTAGAATAACCATTTTACAATTATATTCTAATCTTGTGTAATTTTTTGTTTCTATGCCTCTTGTAATCTATATTCACACCTCCTAACTTACATTTCAAGTTGAAAATTTTGATTTCTATTTTTTTTCCATGCTCATTTTGTTCACCCCTGTAATTCGTTCTATCCCCACGTAACTTTTGTTTCTAAGCCTCTTGTAATTCACATCAAGTTGAAAATAATTGTCACCTTTCATTTGCCTATAAAATTATTTCTCCAGTTATCAAATATTAATTTTGCATGCCTTGTAACTGTTTTCTAATCCTATGTAATCTTGTCTCTAAGCCCCTTGTAATGTATATTCGTACCTTCAAACTTTCATATCAAGTTGAAAATTATTATCTCCTTCGTTACTATGTGGAATTAAATAAATAATAATTGTATCCATGTGAACTAATCTATATAAATGCGATTGTACAGCTGCTTTTGAGAATGAAATCGCCGAAAAGATCGCCATCTTTGCTGAACTTCTTGTTCTTCTCATTCTGATGTCTCGATGAGTATTTTCCACGATTTGAAAAATCTGTACTAGGACCATTGCAAATTGTGCTGGTGTGATACAGACAATGTGTGCCAACCGAATATTATTCTCTCATGTTCCCACATTTCAATACTGCATCAGCAACAGAACACTATATGTGTATTGCACATTTTATTTCATGTCGTTTAGTGTAAACCAAAATTACACGCTCAGAGACTGGTTAAAGAAAATAAATTGTTTAGATATAAAGAGCTGTTGGATCACTTGAAAATATACCTTGGCTTCCGTGTCTTGCCTTCTGCTGTTACAAAATGTTTGCGGTTGTACCAGTTTCTTTTGAACACACAGCTCCGGTATTTCGATGTGTTTCCATTTCTTCCTGTTTCCTGAAATCCTGTTTAGCTGGCCCCACCTTTACCCATAGGTTTCCATCTCCTCCTCCTCCTTCATCTCACACTCGAACATCCAACTCGTCGTTACGCATTAGGGTTCCACTTGAGGGACTGGAGCACGATGTCACTTAGTTGTCTCCTCAGCGTGTGTCCGATGAATCATCACTTTCTCTTGCATAATTTTTGCTGGATAAGTCCTTGGCTGATTCGTTTCCAGTGTCTGTGAGAACGAAATCGAGAAAATGGAGATGTGGTCTCAGTTCACAATTATCTAGTGCAAGGAGCCCTCAAGGTCAACTTGAAAACCTTCAAAGCAAATGAAGATAGACCACAATTCAAGTTCAGCACTCAGAAACTCAGGAACAAAACTACAAACACTTAAGAAACCTCTGAGGAGGAGCAACGGAACTCTGTGGTGGCAATGTAAGAGGAAATGTGTATAGCTATTTGAGAAAGAAAGAAGAGGCAAGACAAATACCGCCTCTCAACGGGCACCTGGAAGCTAAGAGGGAAAAGCAGGGTGGTGAATTAGAGGATGAACCAATGCAAAGTTGGAAAAGTGAAGGAGAAGCTGAGTTCAATGTACAACTCACTGAAAAAAGAAGTAGAGGGGAGTTCTAGAAGCGGAAGGAGAAAATCACACCGTACACTGGCAAATGACAGGCTGCAGGTGAAATGAACTTCAAATTACTAAACCAGATGACTAGGCCGCTATTCGGGAAGGGATCAACACAAGTGAAGGCAGCCTAATTACCAGAGAGGAGAAACGAAAAAAATGGACTCCTGAACCAACCACCTTCTGGCACACATCCAGAAATACCACACCAACGGCCACAGAATTACCAGTAAACACAACCCTTCGAAAAAAGTAGAGGTCTTGAATATAATGAATATAACGTTATCAAAAGCCAGCTTAGAAGGCAACCGGGTCGGATAAAAATTCTTTCCGAAGCACTGAGAATGAATTTAGAACACCCAGTGGACATCCCAATGTAACTGTTGCAGAAAGTTTGCCAGGGGAAAGATAGGTACTTACTGATTGGAAAAGATGCTACCTTCTTAAAAACTGGAGTGGAGTCATATTCTTGTCCATGCCAAGCAAGATATTAGTTAGCGTCATCCAGAGAGAAACAAAAATATGCTCTGGATGAGAAACTCCACCTGGAACATGTTGGATTCAGGTAATACCAATCATATCCCGATCAAATCGCAGCGCTACTTATTGTTATCGAACACAGTAAAGAACGTCAATATAACATCTACCTCAGCTCCGTAGACTGTGAAAAGACCTCCAGCAGTTTTGACTGTGAAGTAATTTGGAAAATGCTTCACCTCTACTGACCTCCCAAAAACATCAGCCAACAGCCGTATGATTATGATACATGTCAAGTGATTTACAACGGAAAGCTCCGTAAAGCCTTTGATGTGAAGACAGACAGAAATGAGACAAGGCTGCCTATTATCACCGACGGTACTCATAATTTTGGTGGACTCGATCATGTGGAAGACTACAGAAGAGTGAAAAAACAGGAATACGCTGGACAGATAAGAAGACTCTGAGAGATATGGATGTCGCGCGTGAACGATTTGCGTCTCATGTCACACAAATTCGAAGATATACAGACGAAGGCTAAGGAGTTGGTGGAAGAGCATGACAGCAAAGGCAGGACTTCATCCAGGTGAGCATGGAAAAGACAGAGGTGATAACGACACCTAGTCAACAACAACAACAAGCACTAATCACCGTCGAGGGAAGAAATCCAAACGAAGTCGTCTCTTCCACTTACCTGATCTGTGTAGTGTCGTTTCAACTACAGGCAGCACAGACGAGGATGTCAAAGCCAGATAGCATCACAAAGATACGATAGACATTCATTAATCTAAAATTGGTGTATAAATCTGCTGCGCTAAGCATAAGGAACAGGCTTCAGACCTCCAATACTAATATCAAAACGGTTCTTCTATATGGTTCAGGGAATTGACTTGTGTATCACGAAGAGAATTTCCTACAGCCTGCTGAAAACTTTCATAAACAGCTGCCTTCACTGGCCGCAGGGGTTGGCAAAAACCCAACTAAACACATATTCTTGAAGAAAAATGCAAAAGAAAATGGAGAAGGATAGAACAAACACACTGAAGAGACCTTTGAGTGACACTGTGGTTTACGATGTGCTTAATTCTCATTGTGCAACTGCATGCCCATTACAAATAAGCATTTAAGTGGTGGTCATCTGACAGCAATCTAATGAAATGAAAATGCCTTCATCAAAATTCTGTTTCTTAAAAGCGACGGAACAGTAAAGTTTTCTCAGTCGCTACAACTAAACTACCCTACTGGTTGGAAATCATGCAATTTTTATAAACCAACCTGTGACAGGTCTAGGTTAAAACAAGTAACTGGAACCACTGGGTTTCTTTTCAAATGTTGATTTTCAGGGATTTGACTGATGTCAGTTTAGATCACAGATTGCCATCAGCTGGAGAACCATTGGAAACCAGAGGAGTACTGAATACCTGTTTCGTCCCAGTATGGGACTCTTCGCCAGTACGCCCCAGTGACCCTCTCCTCTGGAATCAGACCTTGGACATTCAAGTTAAGAAGCAGTCACTGGGAGGGAATTTAGCGTGACCAACGGTCATCGCCAGTGTCATCAGTGAATAATCTTCTTCGCGCTCAACTTGGAGGACTTCACTGGTCACAGCTTCTCACTGGAACTTCAGGCAACGTCGTCCTGTAGTCCGTCACTAGATTAATTTTCAAGTGTCAGATATCACTGTTACACAATTATTATAAACATTAATGGAAATGATATGAAAACTGGAGAAGTTCAACCCTCTGCTCCTTATAGTCATATTGTAACGAACCCAAATGAGAAAAGTTTTTAGACGTTATATAAAGTTTAGGTTTCATGAAGAAGGAAACACTTAAACGTGCGAAAATTTGAAGGTGATTACTTCCTTCAAGCTTAAAACACGAGTATATTATTATTATATTTATTATTTTCTTTAATTCCTAGAGGAACATAGGGTTTCAGCCGCACGTCTCCATTGCTTTCGGTTCTATGCCAATGCTTTCACCTGGCTGCACGTCTGCCCACATGCTTTCATCTCCTCTTCACACCACCTCCTACTCTATGTTACCCTTTCACTGACGACCAACTAACTAGCCACTTCCCGTTCGGGTTCCACTCCAGCGATGACTTGGCGTGTGATTTCACTCACTTGATGGTTTGTTTTCTCAGAGTATGGCCACAATTCAATCCACCTCCATTTCTTCCTGCATATTTGTTGCACAATTGGTTCCTGTTGGGTTGGTTCGTTCATTGCCAGAGATCCCTGTTGCTGATCTTTTCTGGCTGGCCATCTGATCTTGAGGAGTATTGAGCGAAGACAGCTGTTGATGAAGGTTTGTAGTTTGTTCAAAGTGCCCTTCGTGACGCGCTGGCCAAGTCTCCGATCCGTACGTATAGTAAGTAGCACTGACTTCACATTGGAGTTGAAAATCCGGATCTTATTTTTCATGCTGAGTGCTGTTGATTTCCACACAGACTTGAGAGTAATGAAAGCTTACCTTGCTTTCCCGAGCTTCATAAAATACCAGTACAAGTCTCTTTTCATTATGGAATGTATGCAGTTATAGAAACAGATAGAACTGATTGTCTAATAACCATCTACCAACCACTAAAAGGAAGTATTTGAAAAATATATTGGTCAGCGTGTTTGGTAACCAATGGTTACAACTCATACAAGGATATCGAGAGTTTTCTTTAGCATTTCCTGGAAACTTTCTGACAAGATGTACCTATACAAAAACGCTTGCCAGAGCCTTGTAAAAGAGTAGAACCAGATTGAAAGCTATCTCTCAGAGAGCATTAATTTGAAATATACCCTCAGACTATTTATTGCCTTTCTCGTAGAGCAATATTAGATGACATTAGATCAGGTTGGAAAACAGTTAGAATTGACCACACCAAAACTTGGAATTTGTCTATGAAGTCTTTGAATGCTGGTTTAGGTCAGTCATGTGGAGAGGTGCGGTTAGCGCCTGGTTAGCGCCCTCGAGACGCTAAGAACCACTGGCTTGGAACTGCTGGTGATATGGCTTACCGGTGCAGATACCTTCTCTCTTCATCACCTCTCACATCGATTAAGTCGTCATTATTCTGCATATACTAATAATTCTTGCTCTCATATATGTCTGCTGTTTATAGTTCTTTTGATTTGTTTTCTTTTTTCTAACATGGAGTGTCGAAATTAGAACTGGTGAATTTCTACATAAAGTTGTACATTGAATCTCAGTCAGTCAGTCAGTTAGTCGGTCAGTTTATGCTGTCCAGTTATGAAGAAAAAAACACATTACTGACAATTTGAACCATTTCACACCAGTGAAAGTCAAACATGATTTCATTCGCATCATAGAACTTTATGATATTTTAAAATGCCTGTTAATAAACTCACTTTACCGACCAGATTTTCTGTTTTGTGGTGCTGTTTACTTGATAGCTCATCTGTAATTTGGTGATATGCGCCAGGATCAAATGTTGTCTCAGATGTACGAAGTGAAGTCGACAAAACACCAGCACCTGTGCCATTTTGATCAGGTTTATGTGAATGATGCAAAAGAATAAGTAAATTAACCAGCTAGGGAAGAAAGAGAAAAAACAGACAGAAAGTGAGATAGACTATGAAAAGTAGAAAAGCCTATAAGATCCCAATAAAATTCTAGTAATTGACAAATATTACTAATCAGTTTATTTAGAACGAACAATTTGAACATTGGACCTCACCACCACATCTCCATGTAACTCTGTTCTCTGTAGTCTACCTTAGCGAGCTCCACGGTTGCTCATTGGCTTTCACTCATTCTCACAAGGTCTCCATGCCACTGTTGGACGTTCAATTTTTGCTAGCCGGTCTAAAGATGCGAAAAAAACAGGGAACATTGGGCACTGTAGATAATTACAGTTAACTAATTTCAAGACTACTGATCCTAAGGAGGCAAGAAAACTGGGATTGAAGTCATGTTTGTGTTTAATAGGCTGAATGATTGAAAATCCAAAAATTATCACTTGAAATCCAGTTCATCGAGGGCTCTCCTTCACTTTCGAACATCAATTTTATCTAACTGATTATGAACGGATGGCAGGTAATCAAGAATACTGCCGAACGAATCAAGATAAACTCATATTTGAGTAGTACATGTTCGGTCATCTCACCAAGTGCTGCATCATTAATCCTAGATTGTATGTAATGCAAATTCAAAGTATTCATTTCGAAACGATTTAAACTAGAGCGATCGTATGTATAGTGATGAAATACAGCTCATGGCATTATTATGTGAGGCGGCTAGCTCACTGTAGCGTTACTATACTCATATAATGACATAAGCAATATGTAATTTAGGTATCTGACGCTACATTATGAAGTAGAGAAATTTTCTTATGGGGTACTTGTTAGGACGGCTTGATAGTCACATATCTAGGCTTCAGGCTTCAAAGTTGCATCCTCTCTCTTATAAGCGACCTGCTGCACCATGAACGCTCTGCTTTTACATGCGTCGAAGTGGTATCGATTTAAATTACGGGTATTTAGGTATTTGCAAGTCTGACTAATTCTCACTGTATGTTCCGTGTCAATCAGGTAGGTGTGTAGTACCAGCAGAATATTGTCTACACATCCACATGAATATCCACCCGAAATGGTTGTGCAGAGGAGAAATTCAACAAAACAAAAACTCAGTTGTTGAGCACTTCGTGCTGTATAAGATGAGGACAATTTATTCCAATGATCTGCAGGTTCATCTTCTGTTCACAAGAAAAGCCTGGAACTGTATATTACAGAAATGGTTACTCTAATCACTTTTACTACTATGGCCTAAAAGCTTTCTTCTCACTTGCACAATTATCTGTTATGAAATCTGCCTTAATTCACTTTATCCCATCTTCTTTTTTTCCAACTCCTAACTTTAAAATATTCTTTATACATATTTTGAAGCTCTCCTGCCGTTTTGAACAATGGTCCTGTTCAAAAACTGATTTCATTTAAAGAACCATCTGAAGGCCGTGGCACTGTATCACGAACTGACAGAAGTCAGAATGGATGGACTATTCCAACCCCTCCAGTGGCTGAATGATCTATGAGCCCGTCTTGCAACTGGAAGGTCCTGGGTTCAATCACTGGAGAACGCATGCATGCGTTTTGATAAAGAGTACCCAGTTGGGACGAAACAGCTGTCCGGAGGTCCCTGGTTTCCAGGAGTTCTCTAAATGAAGTGAAATCAATCAGATACCTGCAAGCCCGTACTTGAAAATAACTGTGTATTGCTTTAGTCAGACAATCGACACTCATTCGTTGTTATTACAAAATGGCTAAGACACAGAAACAGCAGTAACAACAATAAAAACATTACTAATGTAATGAGGAGCAACACATTTAAATTAGACAGCATACCTTCTCTAAACTTTGACAGTCTATACGGCAGACAAAACTTAAAAAGGCCAAAGCGGTTTTCTTTGTTAAAGGCTGAGCACTTTTAAATACATCCAACTGTGGCAGATTACAATGTCTAAACAATACAGACAGTGTACGCCGAAGACGTTCCCGTTTAGAACACCTCTGTGATGTCAACTTTGATGCATTTAACAATACTGATAATTCTTTCGCTGTTTGATCAGACAGTAGATATCTAGCCGCAGGGAACAAGCATTCCACTACAAGATAGCATATGAAATCTCTTGATAAATATAAAGCTTGAGTAGCTATTTTCATAGCTACACTAGAATGAATAGGTATCACAGTATCTGTGAATTCATTGTTTACAGTCAACTGATGCAGGCCATCGTCACTTTCATTAACTACTGACAAATCGGTTTTCGCCAATGCTTCTAACAATTGTACCGGTGGTAATAACTGACTGCTGTCGGCGTTGAATTCTTTTCGTGAATAGTTGAAACTGTTCAGTCCAGAAGCTGGCTGATCTATCAGGGTCGCTTGCTTTTTCAGACATTTTGTTGTTGATGTTGGTGCGGTTGTTGATGTTGTTTTTGTTGTCGTGGTCAGTGCACCTGATCCACTATTGAATGTGCACAGAAAATGACTACTGACACAAGCCACAGCCTGTGCACAGATTAGTCGAATTGAATTCAGGTGACCAGCCAACAGACAGTCGGAAAGAGCAACTTTATGCGCGTTCAAATTTCTGTCAAAATCCATCATATTTCTAAACCATGATATATCATTCTAAAATGCATAAATAAAGATAAAATCACATGTTGTTGTTTTGTTTATTTGAGAAAGTAAACATAAAATGTTTTCAGTTAACAGGAGTAAGAGACTTAGATAGAAAGAAACTCTTCTATCTCCGTTGGCATGCATGCATCCTATAACTGCATGGTCAAACAATGTTTCGAAAGTTGACTATACTCTAAAGATCAAATCACTAGAAACGATCACAAACAAAACAACGAAAGAAACAGCAAAGGTGGTTAGACAGAGGAAATGGTTTAAAATTATGCCAAAATCATGTAATACACCTAGGATATATGGTAAGATAAAATTGCATAATAAAGAAGGATATCAGATAAGACCGATTGTAGACTTTAGAAACACACTAAGGTATTTGTTGTCAAGATTTCTATCAACTAAGACCATACTAAGACCAACAAGAGACAACTCAAAAGCCAGAATAGTAGATTCATTTGAACTAGTGAGACGAATAAAACCACTAAAAAAGAGGAAGAGGGAATACTAGTCAGCTTTCATGTAAACAGTCTCAATACGAAAATACCCATTCAAATGGCCATGAATGCACTGCCAAATCGGACTACAGGCTTCAATAGCAAGAACCCTGGAATCTAGAGCCATGGATGTATGCTGTGTTTCGGAGACACGCATACAGGACCCGAGTGTGGTCATTCACTTGACCTCACCCAATCAACAAAGTGAATCTGCAAAATTCACCTTGAGGGTGTCGGGTACCCCTCAGCTAGCTCACGAGGACTCGCAGGTGTAGGGATAGCACTGATTTTTAGGGCGGAAAAATCACTCCTTGATTGGATCCCAGTAGGTAGTCGTATGTGCGCGGTCCGTCTGAAAGGGTGCGTTAAAAGAAGGAAAGACGGCGCTACCCGTCGTTGCCTTTTCGTAGTCTCCGCTTACGCCCCAACAGATTGCAGTTCGGATGAATTAAAAGATAACTTCTACTGAAAACTGTCTGATTTGCTGCAAAAAGCAAAACGTTCAGACATAGTTGTTTTAGCAGGCGACTTCAATGCCCAAGTAGGGAAGTTGTGCCAGACTGAGAAGTATGTAGGTGGTACGTATGGAGTTCCCTGCCGACGAACCGACAACGGTGATCATCTTCTCCAGTTTTGCTCAGACAATCATCTGTTCCTAGTCAGCACTAACTTTAGGCACAAAGAAAGGCATTGTGTAACCTGGCGACCTCCATCACCAAATCAACGCTGGACTCAGATAGACCACATAGCCATAGGGTATCGTTGGCGAGGGTCAGTAGAAGACTGTCGCTCCTTCTGGAACACGTGCGTAGACTCTGACCACGCGCCCTGCTGCAGGATTGGACTTCACCGACCTCTAGATTAGAAATAGGAAGTGAAGTGGTAGAACACGTTGACCACTTCATTTACTTGGGAAGTACCATCAGCCCCAACGGGTTGATCTCCGACGAAATCTAGGCACGAATACAGAGGGCTAGGTTCGCATATGCCAGTTCACGCCGTCTCTGGCTTTGTAGACGTGATATCCGACTATCGACCAAAGGGCGTGTGTACTGCTCAACAGTCCGCTCCGTCCTCCTTTATGGCTGTGAGACATGGCCATTGAGAGCGGAAGACATGAAAAGACTAGCTGTCTTCGATCATAGGTGTCTACGTTCTATCTCCCGTGTGAAGTGGTATAATAAGGTGAGCAATATTGAGGTCAGGCGTCGAGTGCGGGGAAATCAGTCGACGAGACTGTGAAATTACATCGACTGAGATGGTTAGGACATGTGTTACGTATGCCTAGTCATCGCCTTCCTCGACAATGGGCAATGTTAACTGATATATGGTCAGGCTGTAAAAGAGATAGCGGCGGTCAAACGAAAACATGGCACCAGTCAATGAAATCCACAACAGTTAGTCTAAGCCATGTAGGAAGATGTGGACTTCCTGGTTGGGGTCCTCGGGACGGTAAAAACCAATGGTTGGAAACAATTGGTGACATGGCTTAAAATCGTTCTCAATGGCGCAGATGCATCTACTCCTTGTGACTTATGATTTCCAATTAAATTGTTTCGTTCTCTGTTATTACTATACCTTTGTCTCACACCTCTGTTTACTGTCTATATTATGCATTTCTCCTACTTTCTTCTCTTGCTTTGTGTGCTACATGAAGGGAGTGTGGCGACTTGAACTGCCGCACATATGTGCAAAGTTCTATGTCGAAAACCGACCGACCGACCGACCGAATGCACTGCAAGAGAAACTGAAAGAAGATAATGGCCTAAGAGACAGAACACAGTTATCCGTACAAGAAATAATAAAAAGAGGTGGAATTCTGTCTAACAACAACAGATTTTACATTTGAAAGAAAAATATATCAACAAAATGAAGAAGTATCCATGAGATCGTCCATCTCTCCAATAATAGCTGACATATTCATGGATTTTTGGGAAGAGAATGCACTTAAACCATTCAGGTCATTAATCAGATGTTGATGGAGATATGTAGACGACACGTTAGTAATAATGAGAAGAAAGAAAAGATGTTGAAAAATTATTCTCACACATGAACAGTCATGTCGAGTGAATAAAATTCACTATGGAAATAGAGAATGAAACTGGGGAACTGCCTATGTTAGACTGCAAAATACTAAGAGTAACAGATGGTAGCATAAAAACGACGCTATATAGAAAAACTGCACACTCTAGAAGATTCCTTGATTATCATTCAGCTTATCCACTCACGGTAAAACGAGGATTAATACAAGATCTTGCAGGTAGAATACGTGGACTTACAACAACACCAGATGACCAACGAAAAGTAATAAACGTGTCATTCAAAATGTTACTCGACAACAACTACCCAGAAGAATTTATCGGAGACAATATAAAAAAGATAAAAAAGAGGGTAAAACTGGAGAATGACAAGACGGAAGAAGGCAAACAAACAGTCACGATACCGTACAGAAATGGTACATCAGAAGTAATTCGAAGAAACCTCAAAAATGTTGGGATTCACATGACGTTTAAACCGACGAATCTAATTAAAAATAAAATAAATCAACTGAAAGATCCCATAAAAATGATGGATAAAAATAATGTAATTCACAAAATATCTTGCACCGAGTAACCGACTAAACATGTGGGTGAAACGTCCAGATCATCACTCAAAATAAGAGTGAATGAACATAAACGTCTAACTAAAGATCATCCCACACGAACACAAGCTTACAACAATTTAGAAATCGAATTCGTCTATAGCCGCACATGCATGGTACAAAAACAGCAACATTGATTGGAACAATGTTTGAATTACATGCGATGAGAACTGAGATTTGGATGACATCCTGAAAGTATTCAATGAAAGTCATCCTGCTATTCGATTCACCTTAGAAAAAGAAACTGAAGGAAAAATATCTTTCCTTGATGTGATACTCACAAGGAAAGCTGACGTGTCTTTGAAAAGATCTGTTTACAGGAAATCAACGTGGACCGGACAACTGACCAGTTTTTTCAGTTTTGTCCCCATAGACAGGAAAAGGAACCTAAGCCGTCCTGTCAATACGAGTGCGGAGAATTTGTAGTAAAGATAAGGTTGATGATGAACTCAAACAACTAAAAGAAATCTTCATAGAGAACCAGTATCCACTACTCTTCGTAGAGGCCAATGGCCAATTGCACGGAAGAAATACAGAAAGGGATACGGTAGCTAAAACAGTGTTGCACCTAAACTTAGAATTTATGGGTGACACTATGAGTTAGATACTTAGAAATCGTCTGACGAGATCACTGAGAAAAATGTTCTTTGCTACCCCTTTACGAACAACCTACCCTAGCAATCCTCTGGAGCACCTTAATGTTAAGGAGATTTTACCTCGATTGTCTGATTCTAACTGCCGGACAGGACGAAATGCGCATCCTTTATTCCAGTGCTAGTCACCATCAGTTAAAATAACGACACGTTAGACCTGAGATATCAGTGAAGCTGTCGTGTTAGCAACCGACACGTCAACAGAGACCGAATACTTCAGTCTAATATAATCAACCAATGGGAAATACAGATTAGCTTAAATAAATAATATATAGTACCCGTTGGAGAACAGGTGATTCACCTGGTCCAAGTAGTCCAATGAACAAGGCTCTGGAGTTTGAAACAATGGGTACTGAGTCCTAGTCTCAGCGCGAACGCTGTCACTCACTGAGAATGCATTCACATCTGACTGACGAATCCTAAATAGAACGACATGCGCATCCCAAATTCCAGTGCTAGTCACTAATAGCCAAATAAGTAATGGCATACTAATTTATGGTGAGATATTAACCTGGTTACCCACGAAGTCGATTCCTGGGGTCAACGACTTTTACTGTCTGTGAAAGCAAATCAAAAGTGGAGAACTTATTGGTAGAATTCAGCTCATACCATGCGAATCTTAACTTCACAACAGAACACGAGGAAAATGATATCATTTAACTCCTAGATGTCCCTCTAGTAGAAAGGATTGGTGGCACAACCGAAAGATCTATAATTAGAACGTCTTCATGGACGAGACAGTACATACATTTTAAAAGCTCTGTTACAAATCCAATATAAAAAGAACTTGGTCAAAACACTGCTCAACAGAGCACGCAGAATTCGTCCTGAAAATACAATTGAGTATTAAATTAATGCCTCTGAAGGATATTTTATCTAAGAATGGGTGTCCTGATAGTTTCATACATATATATATCGCCTTAAAGGAAGTATTTAGATGAAGAGTTCTACCGAAATTCGATGAATTAACCTATGCTGCTTGTTTTAAATTTGTATGGTAGGAAATGTTTCCAAAACGAAAACAACGGTAAGTTCAACAACAATAATAACAATATACATCATATGATCACTACTCACTTCAATATCTTGAAACAGAACTTGTCTTCCGAAGTAGGAGATTGTTTCAATGATACCGGCAACACCCGATCTACTGTCCACATGCGATAAGAACATATTTGATCTGTGCACAGAATGCAGCGAAGCTAACGACAAATTAGGTGCTTGCTTTGCATGCGTATGATCCAGTAATTCTGTATCGATACCAGCACTGACTAAAGCAGTTTCTAACAAGGTGTTCAGTAAACTCATTGCCAATGAAGGGGACATCTGATACACCAATGCATCGGCTGGTAATACAGCTACCAGTTCTGGTGTTGCACTACGCTTATATGAATTATGTGCTTGAATATAAAATATACAAATAGACATCATAGTAAGGCTTGACACTACAAATAATCAATAGAAATGATCAATAGAGACGTAAATTAACAACCAGCCACTACAGTGTTTGCCAGGAGAAACACTTACATCATTCATGGGGAATTTAAATGAGTTTATTTCATAATAAAACCTGCGCCGAAGATGTTGTCCAGTAGGATGACAAAAGCTTCACAGTTAAATCATCCAGAAGCTCAGGGAACACAACTAATTCAAGGCTCGAAAATATCACCTTTACATAGTAGACACAAAATATTCACTAACTGTTACGAAACTGTTTCACTAAGGACACAAGGGAGATATTACAGGTAGAGTATACGGCACAGAAGTGCCATTTGGACAACCCTCTTTATGACTAGCAAAGGTTACTGTTACGGCTACAGCACCTCTGGAGATTTCAGCTACTTAATAGGCTTTATACTATCACTAGTATTATTATTAAAACATCTTGTTTACCACCTGAATGTCAACAGCTGCTGTAGTACTGATTTTCACAGACAACTCATCTGGTTATAAGGAGCAAAATGGTTAAGTGGATTAGTCACCCCACCTTAGTGGAAAGTAGTTTGGAATCCGACAAAATCTCATCCTGGATAAAACAAAGGGTACGCTGACTTCTACTAAACTGCACCCTTATGAGTGCAATCCCAATGTTCCAGTGCCTGTCAAAGGTCAGTGTGTTGATAGACAACGTCTGAACTATTTTAATTTACTACTGGAGAAAAATGTAATCAAAAAAGCTCACCTGCGGTGGAATCTATACTCCTTACGCATACATACTCACCATCTATCGTACTAAGTAAAACTTCGTAAAAAGAAGTCAAAGGGTATTAAGACGAAGAGTTGTCACTAGTTCATGAAATCACGGGTTATTAGTCTGATTCATTCGAACAACTATAGATTGTATCGTCTAGCTCTGAGTGACCGCTATAACCTATGGTTGCAGACTTTACATGTTATGACTCATAATTAATCGTAACGTTGCATAGTCCCTTCAGCCACTTCCCGGTGCACGTAGATGGATTTAGTTTGAGAATTGAAGAACGTAAGATTTCAGTAATGAGGTAGAGAGATTTTGACTCCATTTTCATGAGTATGATACACTTTACATAGCTATGCCATTTATGAAAGTGAACACTGGCTTTCTATTCCTCAACTCTATAGTGCTAAATCTACAGCAAACTGTTGTGCTGCTCTATTTTGACCAAACTAGCGTACACGTATATCTCCTAGTACTTCTTCGCGTTTATAATTGTATCCTAACGTTGTGATTACTCGACATCCACAACGTAATTCAAAAGGCACTTGCGAAGGAATACAATCGTGTATTATGGCAGCAATCAAAATTCAAAAAATTGAGCGAGTACAAAAGTAACAATTGTCAACACGCAATCTTTAGAGTGATAAACAAATCAAAGTTCAATTACATAGTGAAAGTATACTACAAAGATGAGTAATAAAATGGGTCACTACAATAGCCCTTCCGTAGAATGCAGTTTAATGAAGTTTACCTGTATTCGGAATGATATTGTAAATTACAATGACAGAAGAAATATATAAGAGTTTCTGGTATGAAAATCGAATTGAGACTTTTAAGTTTTCTGAGGTTTGATAATATGACTATATATATTCGAAAATGTTAACAACTTTGAGACGCACCAAAACGTTTAGAAAGTTGTGCAAAATGTAACAATAAAACCAGAAAAATTATTAGAATAATAATGAGGTTTTTATTGTAAAGAGTTATAGAATAGATTTATATCTTACATACAGTTAATAGTACAGTAATAAGGTAGTATGGAAATGGATTAGAAATAAATTGTCTGTACAAATCTTTGTGGTCAATGTACTCGTCTGCCTGATCTTGTGATTCTTTCTGTTTTGTTAGCCGGATTATCATCAGATTTTGAATCTTGAGAGCAGGACTCATTTTGTGGCTCAACTTTAGGTGATGTTGATTTTGGGAAACCTTCAGTCACCTCTATTTCCATGAAGGCTGGTTTTACGCGATCGATGCTTACATTTTCGTGTTTTCCTCCGTGTTCGACAGTGATGACTTTGTTTGTTCTGCTTATTACTTTAAATGGTCCGTCACAAGGTGGTTGAAGTGGTTTCTTTACACCGTCGTGTCGTATAAAAACGTGACTGCAATCGTCTAGTTTTTGAGGCATGTATGCTGGGTTGAGCTGATTTCGCGGCGGATGATATCTTAAAAGGCTCATGTGTTGTCTCAGTTGTTGTGCAAAAGTAATTTCGTGAGTTGGAACTTCAGTGGCTAGGTTGAAATATTCTCCAGGCAGTCGTAAAGTAGTTCCATAAACTAATTCTGCTGGACAACATTTGATATCTTGTTTTATTGTCGAACGTATTCCAAGAAGTACAAGAGGTAATTTATCGCTCCACTTATCATCATCCTTCACCGCCATCAATGATGCTTTCAGTTGGTGATGAAATCGCTCCACTAAGCTGTTTGAACTGGGATGATAAGCAGTAGTACGCATATGCTTGATTCCCAGTAGTTCTGTGAGTTGTTGGAATAAATGGATTTCGGATTGGGCACCCCTGTCTGTAGTAATAATGCTGGGCACTCCGAAGTTGGAAATCCAATTTTGTATAATGCTCTTTGCAACAGTTTCGGCAGAAATATCAGGTAAGGGACTAGCTACTGGCCATCTTGTAAATCTGTCAATACACGTTAAGATATAAGTAAAGCCATTAGATGGTGGTAACGGTCCAAAGATGTCAATGTGTATGTGTTGGAACCTACCATCAGGTTCTGGAAACTGGCCATTAGGTGAGACTCTATGTCGTTGTACTTTTGACTTTTGGCAGGTCCACTATTTAATGTCACGATTCATATTCGGCCATACATATCGGTCACTTATCAGTTTAACTGTTGCTCGGATGCCAGGGTGAGAAATGCCATGTATTTTGGAAAAAACTGATCTTCGCATTTCTAGTGGGAGAAAAAGACGCGGTTTACCTTTGGAAACATCACACGCAATAGTTAGCCTTTCATCAAGCATAACATCTTGCAAACGTAAAGAAGTACTCGTGCTATTTTTTATTCTTTTCAGATCCTCGTCCATAGTTTGCAGTCTAGCCATATTTTTAAGATCAAACTGGTCTTTTTCTAAGGTATTTATATGGATGCGGGATAATGCATCTGCTACCTCATTTTATGTCCTTTGATGAACCTAATATCGGAAGTGAACTGAGAAATGAACTCGATGTGTCGGAGTTCTCTTGGCGAGTACTTGTCGTGCTTTGCATTCATGGCCTTGGTTAAAGGTTTGTGGTCTGTGTAGATGGTAAACGGTATTCCTTCGACCATATGACGAAAATGTTTAATAGCAAGATAGACTGCTAGTAATTCTCTACTGAATGCACTATATCTTGATTGAGTGGCGTCTAGACGTTTGGATAAAAAGGCGAGAGGTTGCCATTTTCCATCAGAAAATTGTTGAAGAACTGCGCCGACGGCGACGTCTGATGCATCTGTCATAATAGCTATAGGAGCGTTGACGTCGCGACGTACTAGTAAAGTTTCTGAGCTTAGAGTTTGTTTCAGGTTTTCAAATGCTTCGATTGATGAAGTACTCATGTGCAGCGATTTTGCATGACCTTTCAGTAAATCTGTCAGAGGTTGGGCCAGCTGTGCACAGTGAGGAATGAAACGGCGATAAAAATTGACGAGACCAAGAAATCGGCGTAACTTTTTGAAGGAATCTGGAATCGGGTATTCTTTTATGATCTGAAGCTGTTCTGCTATCGGTGAAATGCCTTGATTGTCTACCTGATGTCCCAAAAATTTTATACGTTTCTTACCGAATTCACATTTACTTGGTTTAATGACAATTCCATATGCGGCTAAACGTTTAAAGAGTGTTTCTAAGTGATGTTGGTGCTCCTCAGGGGATTTACTTCCAACCAGTATATCATCGATATAAGCGTAAGTGAATGGGAGGCCGTGCAAGACCTGGTCAATGAATCTCTGAAATGTTTGAGCTGCATTAGTTACACCAAATGGTAGGCGGACGAACTCGAATAAGCCAAAAGGAGTGGTTACCGCCGTTTTTAGGATGTCCTTGGGCTCGACCGGTATATGGTAGTATGCAAGAACGAGGTCAATTTTGGAAAATATCTGAGCACTTGCCATGTTATGGTGGATGTACGGAATTGGGTATCTATCTGCTATCGTCTACTTGTTTAAAGCCCGGTAATCTCCACACGGTCGTATCTCTGTTGAGTTTTTCTTTGGTACCATATGCAGTGGTGATGACCATGGGCTGTTTGACGGTCGTATTATTCCTAGATCCAATAATCTGTTGAACTCTGCTTTTGCTATTTGCATTGTAGCTGGATCTAAACGACGTGGTTTTTCTGAGACCGGTGAACCTTTAGTTACAATATGGTGTGTTACCTTGTGTTTGAGAGAGGCTGTGGAGTAATCGCTCTGTGTCAGTGCAGGAAATTTCTTTAGCAAAATATCGTACGTGGAGAATTGATCTGCTGTGGCTACCATCAAGCGGATACTCTCGACATCTGTGGAGATTCCTGAAATCGATAGTTTACGACTGCTACTTATCAATCTGTGATGTCTAGAGTCGACTAGCAATTCGTAGTGTTGAAGAAAATCCATTCCAATGATAGGAAAAGTTACATCGGCGATTACGAACTGCCACTCAAATGGTGTACTGCAACCGAAATTAAGTATCTGTCTCCGAGTTCCAAAAGTATTTATGGTAGAATTGTTCGCAGCCTTGAGAACTAATGCTGGGTGTGGTTGTAAGCACTCGTTGGGTGTTGGATAAACTACACTAATTTCGGCACCGGTATCAACCAGGAATTGTGCATCCGTTATTTTGTCTGTCACCCTGAATAGACGGCTGTGGGATGGGTGTTGACCAGCGAATGCAGTTGTCAACGACCGCCGGGTTTTCGTCTCACATTTCCACTGTGTGTATACTTCGAAATGATCTAGTCGATCGATCAGATATGTCAGGCTCACCAATTGTTGGCTGCTCTATTTTGACCAAACTAGCGTACACGTATATCTCCTAGTACTTCTTCGCGTTTATAATTGTATCCTAACGTTGTGATTACTCGACATCCACAACGTAATTCAAAAGGCACTTGCGAAGGAATACAATCGTGTACTATGGCAGCAATCAAAATTCAAAAAATTGAGCGAGTACAAAAGTATCAATTGTCAACACGCAATCTTTAGAGTGATAAACAAATCAAAGTTCAATTACATAGTGAAAGTATACTACAAAGATGAGTAATAAAATGGGTCACAACAAATCAAAAGAAGCTGTATAATACTTCAACTCACTAAAAATCTAATGAAAACATAGTGTATCCCATGTACATGGAATCACATAATACAACAGTGGATAATGCATATTGGTGGAGACGTGAAATACGACATTTGTGCCTACAGATGATTGCCTCTTTACTCAATCCAATCACTTTAGGCGATGTCAATAATCACGGTAGTAGTAGTAGTGATAAAAATAATACCAGTGAGTTTGCAATAGCAGGTAGGTAAGGAGTTGTACATTCCTTTCCTATGATTTATTATACAACACTTTTATCATAGATCATGTTTTCAAAGTCTGACTACTGATTAAAGAATACCCCTTTTGATAACTTCTTCATCACGTTCTGCAGTTATATACATCCATAATAATGAAAGAATTATAGCTTCCGGCTTTGCGCCTACTCCTGCTTTCAACAACGCTCGTTTGAAGGTGTGGGATTGATGAACGAGAGTTGTACGGCCCGCCCCCGAGTTGTCAAGGTGGAAGAGGTCGTGGTGGACCACGAGGTCAAAGAAGATATGTATCTTCACAACCTACTGAGTATCCGTCATTTCAACGTAACCCATCAACAGATCGGTCACGTGTTGGTGATGTTCCAGGGGTGTTGAAGAAGCTTGCATGGGGCGCGCATGTACCTCGTGAACGTGGTGACATTCCATCGTCATTCATAAGGGTTTTGTTAGTAGCGTGAGACCTCAGTGGAACGTCCATGTAAACTTGGATATGACCTGCAAAGCGTCTGGGAATTTGGCGGACGTGATGTCCGCAAAGTATGGCGATGGGATGTCTCGGTGCAGTAAAGAAATGGCCCATGACTTGAGAAGAATCAGAGTGGAGGGTGAGAAGTTTTACAGGAGTGCCCGAACCTCTTACTGAAGCTGAATGGGAAACTCGGTGGTGTGAACTGGCAAATCCCCGACTTGATTAAGAACAGCGGTGATGGTGTTTGGGGCGGACGTGACCCATCCGGCGCCGACACAAACTCATGGTGAAATTCGGAAGTCGGTGGCTACTGTTATTGGTAGTGTATCGCCGGATCTAATGAGGTACGCGGTGGTGATCCGCCAACAGGTGACGACAGAAAAGGGGAATAAATCAGCTAGAGAAATAATCGACAATATGCGTCTCATTGTCAAGGAGTTGCTTGAGAAATACGAACGGGCGTTTCCCGACGCGCATGAAATCACGAATGATATCTGTCGTGATTTCATGCGCGTCGGGAAACGCCCGTTCGTATTTCTCAAGCAACTCCTTGACAATGAGACGCATATTGTCGATTATTTCTCTAGCTGATTTATTCCCCTTTTCTGTCGTCACCTGTTGGCGGATCACCACCGCGTACCTCATTAGATCCGGCGATACACTACCAATAACAGTAGCCACCGACTTCCGAATTTCACCATGAGTTTGTGTCGGCGCCGGATGGGTCACGTCCGCCCCAAACACCATCACCGCTGTTCTTAATCAAGTCGGGGATTTGCCAGTTCACACCACCGAGTTTCCCATTCAGCTTCAGTAAGAGGTTCGGGCACTCCTGTAAAACTTCTCACCCTCCACTCTGATTCTTCTCAAGTCATGGGCCATTTCTTTACTGCACCGAGACATCCCATCGCCATACTTTGCGGACATCACGTCCGCCAAATTCCCAGACGCTTTGCAGGTCATGTCCAAGTTTACACGGACGTTCCACTGAGGTCTCACGCTACTAATAAAACCCTTATGAATGACGATGGAATGTCACCACGTTCACGAGGTACATGCGCGCCCCATGCAAGCTTCTTCAACACCCCTGGAACATCACCAACACGTGACCGATCTGTTGATGGGTTACGTTGAAATGACGGATACTCAGTAGGTTGTGAAGATACATATCTTCTTTGACCTCGTGGTCCACCACGACCTCTTCCACCTTGACAACTCGGGGGCGGGCCGTACAACTCTCGTTCATCAATCCCACACCTTCAAACGAGCGTTGTTGAAAGCAGGAGTAGGCGCAAAGCCGGAAGCTATAATTCTTTCATTATTATGGATGTATATAACTGCAGAACGTGATGAAGAAGTTATCAAAAGGGGTATTCTTTAATCAGTAGTCAGACTTTGAAAACATGATCTATGATAAAAGTGTTGTATAATAAATCATAGGAAAGGAATGTACAACTCCTTACCTACCTGCTATTGCAAACTCACTGGTATTATTTTTATCACTACTACTACTACCGTGATTATTGACATCGCCTAAAGTGATTGGATTGAGTAAAGAGGCAATCATCTGTAGGCACAAATGTCGTATTTCACGTCTCCACCAATATGCATTATCCACTGCTGTATTATGTGATTCTTTGGACAATAGGATTTCACCTTCACTTGTGTCGAAATGACGATGCGTTTGATGCGAACGAAATGTCAAGGGAAATTGAGATGTGTGCTTTTTGCATGCATTCACATTTTTACACGGCGATTCAGTGGAGAAGGGAGTTAAATTCCTTTCGAGTAGCTGGACCAATGTCTCGAGATTTTCAATAATTGTGGCATCAACACCCATACTTAAATCTTTTGTAGCTTAATGGGGGAAGAAAAAAATACAAAGAAGAAAAATTAGATAATGTTAATGGAGAAACAATAGGATGAGTAAAGATATTAGAATCTGTTGATGTTCTCACTTTCTATGTTTCTTTGTAATTAATTTTTATCTCAAGATCACGTTTTGGTCGGAAATCGTTGATAATATAAGTGTAGAACTTGGACACTGTGCTAGAATGTAATTCCATACTAGATAAGTTTATTTTAAATATCGCACACAGTGATGCAGTAATAACAACTGGATGACAAGGTTTCGAGCACAATTTATTGTTCAACTTAGTCACACCGCTTCGTAATTTGTCTTGTAGATACTTTTCTCTCCCTCTTCCTCTTGTTGTTTGTTGCCACTTTCCATATCTCCGGTATAGGTATCGTGTTACTCAAATTGTACATGTGCGGTGTTGAATCGATAAGCAAAGATTCGGTGATTAACTTCTCTCTCTCTCTCCACCTAACTTTATTACTTTTTAATACTTTCATCTTGTCCCACCCACCTCGTATTAAGCGACTACATGCAACTGAAAGCAATGCAATAGCTGAGCTCTGTTTATACTAGGTTATTTAACTTAGCAGAGTCAATCATTCTAGGTATAGCCAAATTCCAATAATCTAGTTGACCCCGATCTACAAGTTTGACCTATGTAATTGAACTTGAATTCATTACATGGTAGTTGGTAAATTATATATTTTTTTCATAATTGGATCTATCCAGTCCATAAGCCGTCAAAGTTTATCTCTGAGAGTGTTGGTTGGTTGGTTGGTTTAAATGCCATCCTAATTCCAGCTTCATTGATGATCCTACGTAAAGCAGAACTATACAGATTTAACTTAACAGGATCACCCAGTTGTTAATACTGCATCACAGGATGTGATATTTAAAATAAGCTTATCTAATATGGAATGAAAATCACCGTCTATATATAATTTCTTCTCTTAAATATCGTTTTGAATATTACTCAACTTTACATTCAAAGCAATCAGTTCTGTTTTTCTCGCCCCCTTAGAGTTAAGAGTAGAGTAGAACGCAGAGCTTCAAGTCTGAACTATTAAGTTTCAACGTTGGTGACGCTGTTGTAAGGGTGTAAGGTTGCTAACACCACGCTCACCCTTTCCTCTTTACCGGGCTTACCACCTCCTATGCAAGGTTCAGAAATGCGTCGGTGTCGGAGAATCAAACTCAGACCATTTACGTAATTGGCGGACATTCGACCATTATACCACTGACGTACAGCTATTGATATGGTAAATTCCTTGCCCATTTTCACTGTGCACTTCGCGATTTATTGATTATCTTTACAAAACCACGTTGAATAGGCCTGTTTGGTAATGATACAATAAATTAACAACTGCATGATATTTTGGACAGAATTCGTAGCTACCACTCATGTCGAGATACATTCACACAACTTTCTGGCTTGCTTCATGTAATTCTAGTCCCTTCACTTTATAACACTGTTTTCCATAGTGTCCTGTGTTATTCCTATCGTAGTACATGGTTGTACATTTAATGAACAAGAATTCAGAGATTAATTATTCCTATTTTAACGTATTTAAACGCGTTCTACACGTATCTCTAACACGCCATAGGAGCTAGATTTAGCGTCCTAAAAGGCTGAAGTCCCCTGACTGTTAGAGCGCATTGTGCTCGCACGTGCTAAGTAGTTGTCTTATTTCCCTAGTTTATTGTTAATTCCCCCCCCCCCACCCTCCCCACCTTATCAGCTTAATCTTTTCATAAGCACTTTCGTTCTTTATGTAACTGTAATGCTGTCGTCGAGAGTTAAGCATAAACCGTGCTCTTTTTATTGTTCATGGTATCTTGTCAGAAAAGTCGTCTCTTTTCATCAAATGGTTTTCGCATATGTTAACCTGCTGAACTTCTTAATTTGAGTATTTTTGGATCCAGACGAGCTTGATTTGTTGGTTATTTCAATTATAATTTCATAATCTTTAGTGTCTACTATTAATCTGAATTCACATTTGCATTGGTCAGTCGCATCTCCCATACCAGTTATCCTTTTCTTAGTAGCCCTGTGCCTTTCTTACCTTAAATAGAGTCTAGCGATTTCCTCCACCATGGATTTTACCGCGATATGTCTACGAAGATATTTGAAAACAATTCCATGTTGGAAGTGCATTGGAAGTTTGAAAATACGATGGTCTGCCAACTGTGCTTCGGTTTGTGACAGCTGTGTTATTTTCATGAATTATCTTTGATTTGAAGGGACATAGTTAGCAATAGTCAGACAGTGGATATTGTATAATATGGAATTACATTCTACTGTAATTCCTTCGTTCCACTGATCATATATATACTTCAGAGTAAAACTATATTGAAATAAAACATATTACTTTTTCTGAAAATAAGTAGTAAAACTTTTAGAAGTAAATAAGGACGTTAATGTCCCGCTTTATGTCGGTTAGTTCATCTCTTTCTGTTAAGACAGCAGCTTCCCAATGCTCACACAGCAATTCTCGCAAAAACCAATTATTATTTCAAAATGCAAAAAACATCTAAATAGCATGAGGACTTTAATATACTAGCTCCCCACAATTCTTATAATAAACATTAAAGACACTATTGCCATTTACAGGAATTCATCATGAGCTGATATAGGTTAGAGAACCTTTGGAAAACCAGCCAGGGAGCACTGGACAGCCATCTGTTTCGTCAGACTAGTCTGAGGCTTCTCAGTAGTACCCACCCACCGCAAACCTTCCAATCCAGGGCCTTCTGGTTACAAGGTGAGCTTGTAGGCAACTATTCAGCCACTGATCAGCCCATGAATTTCAACTTCTGCCAGTTTACGCACGATGTGTAGCGTAACTGGCACTAGCCAATGTCATCGTTGATGAGTATTTATCCTCACACCCTACCTGCTGTACCCTACTGGTCATGACATCCCACTAGAAGAACCCAGGGGTAACTACGTACCTAAATAGGGCCAGTCACTAGCACTAGTGAACATCAGATTGATATTCGAGTGTGGGTTTCAAGTGATCGGGAGGCCGTGACCAGTGTGGGACAGCAGAAAGGGTGTAAGGAAAAAAATACTCATCACCGATGACATTGGCTATTGCCAGTTGCGCTATATCGTGCGTAAATTGGCAGAAGTTGGAATTCATCGGCTGGCTAGTGGATTCGGTCCCAGTATCTGAATGGTAGCCTACGAGCTTGCCTTGTAACTGGGAGGCTCCGGGTCCAAAACCTGGCAGTGGTTGAGTACTGCTGGAGATTCCCAAACTAGGTGATGAAACAGCCATCTAGTACTCCCAATTGGTTTTCCAAGTGGTTCTCTAATCGATGTTAGATCATGATGAAATCCTGTGACCAAACAGATCAAATCCCCGGGAACCAACAGTTGAACACCATTATTATTATTATTATTATTATTATTAAAAGCCGAAATTGGTAAATCGTGAGCACCAAGAAATGCACCACACAAGACCTATTCGTGCATATGTGGAAGGACTGGATTACCACTGAGATACCCAGACCGAAGCGGATGGTTGTCTTAAGGGACTGACTATCCCTCCAAGTCACCAGTGAGCATCAGATTTTAATGTGGTTTAAAAAATATACACAAATTTGACGTGTCCTTCCTAATAAAAACGTTGTATCCTAACAGTCACAGAAACCAGTCGTTGTTGTTTGATATTTACGTAGCTCACTGAAAACGTCAGGGGTACCACGGGTGAACGGTCGTATTTAGCATATCAGTTGATTTTTACATTGCTTCAGTAGTATTGCGGTGAGAGCTGGCTGCTAGCCAAAGTTGGTAGACAGTAATTGACGTCAACGGTGGTGAGAAAATGAGAAGAAAGGCTTTGCGTAGGCGGATACAGTTAGCATATGGATGATCTGACACAGCCACAAAGAGATGCAAGGTTAACTCTCTGTGAGAAACAACCAATCAAAAGACCGCATTTCCTACTAACAACAATCTACAATAATGTACATTAAAATCTATAAATATGTGTTGATTTTCCTTAATAAACGATCTGTTGACTGGCCCTTGTCTTCTGTTGTTACACTAACTTCACACTAAGATAATTTTTAATCTGATATAACTAGTACTGTGATGTACACACACTCCTTATTAATTTCCCATCCTATTCGATTAATTTTATTGTCAACACAATAAATAAAGTAAATTTATAGTATAGAAATGAACAAAGATGAAATGTTTAAAAAATCATACCGTTTTTTTGTGATTTGCCTTTCAATGAGAACACATCATTTGCACGTGCAAGTGATGAAAATACTTTTAAACTCCGACGTGATGAAAGTACCGGTGAAGATGGTGCTGAAGTGGAATTGGTCATTTGAGAGCTGACATTTATTGCATCAACAGACAAAAACCAATCAGACTTGCACTCGTCCGCATTGACTACAACTGGTGATAAACGCGTTTGAGAAGATCTTCTGACTGTTCCACCTGATCTTATATTACTTCCCATTGAAATCGGTTCCATAGGTTTATAAGTTCGTGAGATAATTTTAGATTGAAAAGGATAGTTAATAAAGCAAGTTACAGACGGTGGTGACAATAAACATCCTGGAGATGTTTCCCACCATGGAGTTGAATCCACGGGAATTAGTGTGGAACTAAGCAGCTGAAAATAAATAGTAAAAATTATATTAATTTATAAAACAGAGAAATTCTCATTGGGATGGTATGTCTCTACACACCACCTTCTCTAGACATGCTATTATCCACCAAAAAGTTAAAGACAACATCCCACTATCGGTAACTTTATTCACTATAATTAATCAGTTCACATGCTCCCGTGGAGTTAAATGCGCAGGTCATATCAGCACGATATGTCCTAGACACGTTCATGAACACCTGCTAATAGAGGTGTCAGATGTCCAGTCAACATATCATTTCTAAAGTGCATTAGAACTTCTAGTCAAGCAGTATCGGCAGACACCTAGTTCAGAGTCATTTATTTGAATGCATAAAAAGATCGAGGCAGTTAAAAGAATGATGCTTACATTGCAAGCATTTTATTTTATAGACACAATTAGATAGAGAATCTTTAGGGATTTGGTCTTTCATATGGACAAGGTCGCTTCTCAGCGTGTCTGATATTGTGAAGAAAACTCTGATGTCGAGCTTACTGAGTACTTTTCTAATATCGTCTGATGTCTCCGCACTATATGGAATGACAACTGTTGAGGTCCATGCTTTCGGAATGCGCTTCGGCCATACTTAATGTCTGTGTTGATTTTGTTGATGATGTCCATTGGCTAGTTGTTTTACTTGAGAGTTTCAGTAATGTTTGATATTTCTTCTTCTTTTCTTTCTCATCCTTTTTAGGAGAGTGTGCTCGTCTAAGAAGACTTGAAACAGCTGATACCTTTGAACTGATGGGATGTGATGATCCGAAGTCTAAATATTCGTTGGAGTGGGTTTTCCTTACTGAATATGGATATACCAAAATGTCCGTTTTCCTTCCTCTTAACTAAGCAGTCTAGAAATGGTAGTTCACCCACGTCTCATTCTGCTTTCAAAGTAAACTGGATTCTGCGAGGTGGGTTGTTCAGCTTCTCCAAGAATACATTGTGTAAATCTCACCAAAGTATCTTAACTATAGTTTGAAGCGTGAGTATGCTTGAAAAGATGTGAATGCGATAAGTGATTTCACTATATAAACACATGCTGTTTTTATAATTTTACGCACTTGTCAAATCAAACAATCTACACCTGGTTTCGTTATCTTTACTAAATGGCCAACTTGAAAATGTAAAAATACGCCATGCTGAAGGATGTTAATTAAGTTGTCTTATATAAGCTAATGCCCACTTGCGATTGGCCCTATTCAGGCAGTTAACCTGGGGTTCTAGTGGGAAGCCGCCACCAGTAGGGTGCAGCAGGTTGAAGGTGAGGCAGCAACTCATCGAAGAAGACATTGCGAAGTGGTCACACTATGTCATGAATTGGCAGAAGTTAGAATTCAGGGACTGGTCATTGGATCGGGTCGCAGTAACTGAATGGTATACGAACTGGTCTTGTAACTGGAAGGCCCTGGGTTCGAACCCCGGTGGTGGGTGAGTACTGATGAAGACTCCCAAACTAGGACGAAACAGCTGTCCAGTACTCCCTGGTTGGTTTTCCAGTGGTTCTGTAACTGATATCTATCCGTGATCAACTCGTAAGAACTTAAGTAACCCTTACAAACCAAACTTTAGAAAATTAATCTGTTATTCTACGTTAACGAAAATGTATCCGCCGCATAACTGGCTGTTATTGTAACGACAGTAAACACTATATTTTATAATTGTAAGAACCTGAAGAAGAGAACTTATTGAAAAGAATATTCTTCGTTCAGATTGGCATTTAATTCATGGGATATGGGAATATTTCACACTATCAAATCATACACTTTGATTCACCTTTATTAATACCAACTGACAATAATATCTAACCCATGCATGTAGCAATTTACATACAAACCGTTAAATCACTGTACGGCTTTGTTGTGAAGTAGTCAGGAAGAAAGAGAGAGAGATACTGAATTTCGTGTCCTTAGCACACATTACATGAAAATTGTTCATACTCAAATAAATCTGATTGGTTGGCATTCGATCTAAGGTTAAACAAACTATCCAATGAGGTTATTTCACGTCAAAAACGTAACCTAAATCCATACTTGAGGAAAAAACACTCCTCCCCTATCTCTGCAGCCATTGACTTAAAATTTTGATCTGAGTTCTGGTTGCTTTCTATCAATCTGCACCGCACTACATTATCATCAACACAGAGAGAGAGAAAGTTTCCGAGGTTCCATCTTAGATCTGTTTGTATCCTTCGATGTTTGATTCAGACGACTACTGAGGAGTGTGAAGTGCAGTCGGAGCACAGTATTGATTTCAGAGTATGTGTCAAAATGATATAAGCTTCACTCACGAGAAAACACAAATGACGATATTGCATAAAATATCACCAAAAAAAATAAGAGGTAACAACACTAGACTTACTTGTAGTTTGTAGAGAACACGATAAGGCGATGAATTCAATAGTGTGTATGGATTACACACCAGATTATATTGTGAATGCACACTTCCACTACCATTGCGTCCATAACGAAGTGATTTAAATGTTGGCAAACAGGCTAACAATAAACGTACAGGATGAATAAAACTAAATGTTGAAGAAAAATATGCCCCAGATGATGTTCCTGTAGAAGAATGCAGCTTTTTCCCCGACTGTGAATTAAGACAGAGAAGTTCTGATTCAGCTAATTCAAAGAGAAGTTCATAAACTGCTGAATCTTGACCTAAGCATATACTCGGCAGAACAGTATTGACACTTGAAGTATTCGCTGACACTGACTGATTTGTATTCGACAAATCAACTGATAAATCTGCCAATGATTGTTTTGTATTTAAACTGAGAATTGAGGAACCTCTAGACATTAGATTACTTCCGATAGACGGGATTTCTAAACGTTTTCTGAAAGAACTTAAAAGTCCAGTTGATTCATCGTGTGCTAAAGTATACCTGTTCGAAACAGTATTAGTAGGATTATTTAAACTTTCATTTGTTAATTCCAGTGTAGACGAATAAGCACCAGCCAATGAAAATGAACTGCTGTACAGGGAGTTATTTGACATTCCTTGTGGTGGTGTGGCTACAGAAGAAACAACACTTGTATTGCTAATCCGACTACGTGAACGACTGTTCGACTCTGCATAAAATCGAACAATTAAATGACGACCAACCTGTAGAAAGTTAAACACAGGATATAAAATCAAAATAGAATATATATATATATATATATGTATATATATATATATATATGAGAGTGATAATAGTGAATAAATTACTAAAGTAAAAGTAAACTAAAAGTAGAATTGAAAATTTAAGAAAAATTAAGAATTTTTTACAGGGAACGACTAGTGAAGAGGTTAAGACAAAGGTAGAATAAGAGACTGGACAAACTTTTCCTGTATACAGAGTTCTACGGCCGACAAATGATCAATGGATGTGTGAAGGATGAAATGCAGCTTTGGGCCACTTCAATATGTGTTTATAAATTCACCTCCTTTTGTGGAGCTAGTTATATTGGCCGCACAAATCGCTCACACTTTCCAAACGGATCTCTGAACATTATCCGGCATGGTTAGCAAAAGGACAATGCAAGACAACTACTAGCTCAATTCTCCAGAACTTGCTGAACTCAGGTCACGTAGCTCAACGAGAGTCGTCTTTCAAGATCATCTACAAGATGAGACCAAAACGGTACAAAGGGAGTCAAGTTTCGGTATTTTTGTATGGTGGAGGCGTTGGCAATTCGTCAATACAACCCCAAACTGTGTATACAGAGAAAGTTTGTCCAGTCTCTTATTTAACCATGGTCTTAACTTCTTCACTTGTCGTTCCCTGTAAAAAAATTTTATTTAAAAAAATTTCAATTTTACTTTTAGTTTGCTTTTGCTTTAATAATTAGTTCACTATTATCACTGTCATACGTTCCTTTTGTACATTTTCACACCCTCTTCACATCTGCTAAATAGACACTCAACTACCTTCATTCTCACCTTATCAAATATATATATATATATATACATATATATATATATATTCTAATGTGATATCATTATTAATGTTCCCTTGGGTTTCATGTGGAACACATCTCCACTTCGTCGTATTCTCTTTGGTCCACTTTAGTTTACCCATCGTCTCTGATCTCCTTCTCGCACGATTTCCTCCATGTCATCCTCCGAATCACATGCCCAACTCGTCCTTTCGCATTCGGGTTCCACTCGAACGACGGCCTCGCGCGCAATGTCATTCGACAGTCTCCGCTGCATGTGTCCGATCCATCTTTATTTTCTCCTGCATATTTGTTAAGCAATAGGTTCCCCGCCAGTTAGTCCCCATAGTTTCTTGTTACTAACTATTTCTGGCCACTCTATCTTCAATATAGAGCGAAGGCAGCCGTTGATGAAAGTTCGCAACCTATTGGAAATGCTGCTCGTGACGTGCCCGCCAAGTTTCTGACCCGTATAAAAGAAATAACTTAACAATAGTGTTGAAAATCTGAATCTTGTTGTTTATCCTGAGGAGTATAGACGACTTCCAAACCGATTCAGATTGATGTAAGCATATCTTGCGTTTCCGATTCTTGTTGGCTTTCACATCGTCATCCGTTCAGCTGGATGTGGTTGAAACAATGCTTCCTGGATAAGTGAATGCAGGAAGTGACCTCTTTCAAGTTTATCCTGTCGATGATGATTGGTGATGTTTGCTGTTGCTGTTGGTTAGTCATCTTTATCACCTCCATCCTCTCTGTGTACACCTGAAGTCCTGTCTTCACTGGCAGCCTCTTCAGCCAGTTTGTTGCTTTTCGCCTTTAGATCTTCCAATTTGTATGACATCAGACATAAACCATCCGCGAAGTCCATATTTTCTATAGTCTTCTTGTCTGTCCAACGTATTGCTGTTTTCTAACGGAGAATCCAATCCTCCACAACTAGGAATATCATCGGTGATAATAGGCAGCCAGCTTGTCTTACTCCAGTATTCACTTCAAATGCCTCGCTGTGTTTTTCATTGTGGATCACCTGACGCGTGGCATTGTCGTGTAGCCAGCTGCTGAATGAGGTTGATAAAGATTTGAGGCAAGCCAAATGTGTTGAAGCAGTTTCTAAATTACTTTGCAGTCAACGCTGTTGAAGGCATACTCAAAGTGTGACATACTTAAAAGATATTTACAGAGAACTTTAGGCTGCGAATGTGAAGGGGTAGTATGCTTTCGCGAAATCCACATGCATGTTTGAAAATGCAAACACATTTATTTATTTGTTTTTCATAATAAGCTGATGTTATATTACAGTTTTCAAATAAACTAACAGTTAAGGCCTAAATGCATAAAACCATACACCTCTGATTAATTGAGATGAGCGGTCGTATACAACTCACACCAACCAATAGTACTTGCCAGCCAGAACATCAAAGTGATCTAAAAACACCGGCTCACCCGAGTAGCTAACCCAAAAATTGGGTGGTTTGAATTGATTCGGCATTTTGAGCCCAGTCAAACCGGATGCATCGTTGATGAGCTCAACGCCGAACAGGCGAAATACTCGTTTACGGTTTAAATCACTTCGATATGGCTAACTAGCACCACTCACCACTGGTCCATATGACTGGTATCCACCTACTCACCTCAATCAACCAGTAATAGTATGTATAGTTTCATGTGTTTACGCTCAGTCTCCTGATTGCCATTTTCGCCATCAAGCGGATTACTTGTTTTTGTAATCTCAGTAACTTGGTTTCCAGAGGAGACTACAGTGTGGAATTTTACCATTCGAACTGTGTAGATTGGAAACTGATGACCAACTTGCAAATTTGATTTAACAATGAACTCTTCTATAGTTTCGTTTGTAAGGGTTAGTTATGTTATTACGAGTTGATCACGGATTGATATCGATTAGAGAACCAGTGAAAAAGAGCAGTGGAGTACTGGACAGCTGTTTCATTCTAGTTTGGGAATCCTCGGCAGTACGCATACACCACCATGGCTAGAATTCACAACCTTCCGGTTACAAGGCAAGCTGGCTAGTATGCCATTCAGCCACTGGGATCCGATTCAATGGCCAACCCATGAATTTTAACTTCTACCAAATCGTGATTTAGCGCGACCCCAACCAATGTCGTCGGTGGGATATCCATCGTCACACATGATATCTGGATGGACCTCACTGGTCACGAGTTCTCACTAGAACTGATTCCAGGAAACTCCATCCTGTAGCAAGTCACTAGCGAGCATCAGATTAATTTTCTATAGTTAGAATTCATAGACTGGCCACTGAATTGGGTCCCAGTGGCTGAATGGTATACGAGCCAGCTTGCCTTGTAACCGGAAGGTCCTGGGTTCGAATCTCAGTGGGTGTGTACTGCCATTGAGTCCCGGACTAGGAGGACTAAACAGCTGTTCAGTACTCCACTGCTGGTTTTCAATGGTTCTCTAACCGACATCAATCCGTGATCAACTTGTAATAACAATGAACAATAAAATTTCAATTAAAACAAACAAGGTGATAAGGGATTTAAGAAAAGCAAGAAGAGGAATAATAATAAGAATAATTAACACTAGGTTTCGTAATATTACAACGAAGATCAAGTGAATACCTGCCACCCGCAATATAACTACTGAACTTAACAGGAAACAGAATTTTTAACAGTTTGGAAAAATTTGGGCATAGGGTATATGGGTATTCATTATTATAAAAGTTCTTTTTGTATTTCCCAGTGAATGCAGAAGAAACAAAACGATATTGTTGTTTTTATTGACGTTTCACTATCTAATGCTGCTAACAGACTTGTCAAAGTATTATCAAACCAGAATTTAGAAAATCTCAATTTGGCCAACTTGACAACACAAAAGTGTCCCCATGCTGATGAACGATGATTAAGTTGTTATATTATATAAGCTGAAATTTTGTAAATTCTGGTTTAATAGTAATTTGATAAGTCTGTTAGCAGCATTAAATAGCGAAACGTCAGTAAAAACAACAATATCGTTTTGTTTCTTCTGCATTCACTGGGAAATACAAAAAGAAATTTTATAATAAGGAAAGAGAACTCCTACCTAACGGTTATGTGGATAAATTAAGGTTTCTTTGCAATTTTGTTTAACCTCGAAATGTAAGATACTGAATAACTCAGTTATTCATACAAATAAATAAATTCGTATATTTCACCGATGATATAAGTCTGATTTCCCACAAACTCGAAGATATCCAAGTGAAAAGCAACAAGTTGGCAGAAAAAGCATCCAGAGAAGACAGGACTTCAGCTGAACATAGAGAAGACAGGGGTGATGATGAAGATTCCTGGCCAACAGCAACAGCCACGGTAACAACAACAGACAACATTCAGCATGAATGGGAGAAATCTGAAAAAGGCAACTTCCTTCACCCACCTACCCAGCGACCTGGGAGGTATCGTTTCAACTACAGGCGGGCGGAACTGATGAGGATATCAAAGCGAGGATAGGGAAAGCAAGGCAAGCTTTCATTACTCTCAAGTCTGTGTGGAGGTCAGCAGCACTCAGCATGAAAAATAAGATCCGGATTTTCAACTCCAATGTGAAGTCAATGGTACTCAACATACGGATCAGAGAATTGGCTCCGCACCGCGTCACGAAGGGCACATATCTTCACCAACAGCTGTCTTCACTCAATACTTCGCTCAGGATCAGATGGCCGGCCAGAAAAAATCAGCAAAAGGGTGGGATCTCTGGGAGTGAACCAACCCAGCAGGAACCGATTGTGCAACAAATATGCAGGAAGAAATGGAGGTGGATTGGCCATACTCTGAGAAAACAAACCATCAAGTGACATCACACGCCAGGCCATTGCTCAAGTGGAACCCGAATGGGAAGCGATGAGTTGATCGTCTGAGGGTGACATGGAAGAGGGATGAAAGCATATGGGCAGAGATGGAGCCAGGTAAAAACGTTGGCAGAGAGCCGAACGCAATGGAGACGTGCGGCTGAAGCCCTATGTTTCGCTAGGAACTAAAGGAGACTATATATATATATATGCATGTATATATATATATATATATATATATATATATATATATATATAAGAATAGAATCTAAGCATTGTCGTAGAGAGTAATTCCATCAGTAGAATAATTTTATATGGTGAAAACCACAGTGATACAGTATTATCTATGCACTGATGACATTTTGAGCACAATTTATTCCCAGCACATAATCATATTCAAGGCACCCACATAACTTCCCAACTTTGTTTATATACCTTCCACTATTTCCTGTTCTTCCTTTTTATTGATACCAATATTTTCCGTATCTCTTGTATTGGCGTTTTGTCATTCCTATTGCATGTGTTAGGTGTGTAGATCTGATGAACAAAGAGTCAGTGATCAACCTCTCCCCCCCACCTAGCTATATTACATTTTGAACTGTACTTCTGTTCCACTCTACTGTGTAAAATGATCAACTCTAGGAAATGAATAGGATAGATTTAAACTCAAGTATTCCAATACGTGCAATAACACACGCACATCCGCAAAATCACACAATACGGTGGCGTAGAGCTACAGTCCTACACAGTCATAAAGTTAGATATGCGAGGGAGGGATGAGAGGTCGATCACTGAATCTCCTTTGTTCAACGAATCTACACCTGATACGTGCGACAGGGAAAGATGCGACATCGATACCAGAGATATGGAGAATATTCATATTCCGGTCTCAGTGTGTTCCATTATCAATGTGATTTTGGCAATGTGAAGCGAAATTAACAAATCGTGGAATATATTCATATATATATATATATGTATATATATATATGTATATAAATGTATATATGTATATATATCCAAGAATCGATATAACTCATGAGATTTGACTCAGGAAAACAGTTATAAAACGTAGACGTTACCTGAAATCCAAGTTCACCAATAGGCATTCGATTTAAAACAGTGTCTAGTAGCTGTGATTTCTCTCTACCAGCTGATTTAATTTCATTACGTTGAATTGATATGTCGTTTGAAAGCATAGTCCTCACAACTGGTTCCTTTGAAGATGAAGACAGTGAGGAGACTTTTGGTTCTGGTGCTTTTTCAAGTGATAGTGTAGCTGCTGTCCACGATGGAGATAAATTATTGTCTTGTCGATAATTCGACTGAGATTGAAAGGCGAACAAATATGCACTTGAGGCAAGATAAGCTCTGTCTCTGATTGAACTAAGCGGTTCATTTGAATGCGCTAATAGTAATATTGGTTCATCGCTAAGATCTGAATACTGATAAGAATCGCCTAATAGATTAGTATTACTAGAAGACAATTTATTCCCAGTTTGATTTAAACAAATCGAAGGATTATTAGTTGAAAGAGACGACTGGCCTTGTTTAACAGTTTCAACTTTAACAAGCAATGGCATATCCCAACCTCGATATGTACAACCATGAGGTTTCCAGTTCGGATGCTGAGTACGAGAACCAAACATTTCATCCTATATACATTTAAAATTAAAAAATTTCTAATAATCTCAAAAGAATACATACATATATATGGACTATTTTAGAAAACCAAGACATGATCCAACATCTTGAAGTTGAGAATTGCGACAAAGGATTACTGTGGATAAGGTATGCATGAAATCATTTCTACTGAAATTGGAAAGTTGATGCGATAACATATCTTCTAGCTAATTACGGGAAACACCAGCTTTCGTCCTTCGATTGATCAAACCGGGACATTATGAACTACTTATTCAGTGATGCAAAGTGACATCTGATTGAATATACATACAGCTACAGACTGAATCATTACAGTAAGTTTGTCAAGTTTGTCACTTACAGGCATTTTTTGAAGATCTACGGCAATATATTTATTCTCACTCGGTTGTGTTTCGACTGAAGCCTAGTTCTTCAATCCCTAATCTTTGAAGTTTCAGTAGCGATAGTGATTCTTGTATGCGGTAGCATTGCTAGAATAACACCCAACTTTTCCTCTTCACAGGGCTACACTGGCCACCTTCTAAGTGGGATTCGGTAGAGTGTGGACCGGGAGTCGAACTCTGACCATGTACGTGGTTGACGAGCATCCCACCTGTGAACTACCAAGGCACTCAGATCCAAACACTACTTTCTTGAAGTGATAAGCCAGAGGTAAAGAGTATTTTCGTAAGCGTTTACATAACTATCATCTGATATTTTTTTTCGACAAGGATGTAGTCGAAATCTCCCTGTATTACTCAAAATACTTAATACTATCTTAAAAACCATGGAACCTGTGTTACATTTACCTGAGGCTCGTAACATACATACTTCAGTAGAGTTTACTGTAGCATTTCAGAAATTAGACTCTGAGATTCATTGAATAGATAACAGCATCGCTATGAGTACACTAAAAAGCTAAAACCAAACAAATATGACAGATGCATGACAGTATATACTACTGATTGACTGAGATGAGTAGATCGGTGCCACTGACACCGACCAGTAGTACTTGGTAGCCAGATCGTCGAAGTGATCTAAGTACTATGTAGTCGTTTCGCTCAATTCGGCTGAACTGAGTTAAAACAGATACACCACCGATAGATAAGCTCAACTCCAAATGAGCGAAACGACCATCCGGTGTGTGTGTGTGCACTCCGATCAAGCTAGTGAGTGATGTACAACTCCTCATGTGAATCAATCAGCGGCATATAGTGTCATGTGTTCATGCTTGCAATCTTGATTACTATTCATAGTATCAAGCAGATCACACATATTACGTGATCTGAACAATTTCAACTTCCAAAGAACACCGTGATAAAATCTCACCTTGAACTGAGCAAATTGTGAATCGCTTTCCAGTTAAGAGTGAAACAATTGTATTGATGCAACTGACCCTTTATACTAAACCCTGGCTCAACTAACAAGAGAAAGTGAATTAAAAGATGCACAAAATAAATGCACTACTCACCTCAACTGACTGAATAAAGGCATAGACTAATCCGAGTAAACGCCGTATAGCTAATTTAGCTGCAGTACGACTGCAGTGTTTTGCTTTTGTCGCCGGTCCAATGCCCAACATCAGTGCAGCTAACAGTTCACCAGTTTCTGCCAGGACTGATGTGACGCCATATTCAGTGACTAAACCGCGCCCCAAAGCATAATTAGCCTAAAGTAATAATAGTAATAATAATAAAATCAAAAACGCAGATGAAAGGTTTCTGACGACATAGTGCGAAAATAAACATGAAGACAACCAGTGAACTAGCGAGCGGTTGTCTGAAACACGAATTGTATGCAGATATTTTGAACAATCAATAAAACAAAATGATTAGAGATGGATGAAGTTGCATTTTTCAGTTGCCTTACAGCTTACCCACCCAGAAAATCTACATAAATTTCAACCGAAATACCCAAGCTTTTCTGGAAATTTAGTTATAAAATTATCCAGGGTCCTTCATTGTCCGGTAAGGCATTTTTTATTAATAGAATATATGTTATTATCTTCTGTATTATTATTATTATTATTATCTTCTGTAATCAATAAATATTATCATATTATAAACATGAAAAGCTTCAATAATCGCAGTCAGAAATGAAACCTCTGCAGGCAGGCAAACATGCACAGTAATGTATTACTTCAAATTTCGACAGATTTTCACAGCATAGGATAACAAAGTAAGATTTTAAAAAAGGTGGGATATAAGTGAAAAGCATCTATACAAAGAATACGTCAATATAGCCATCACGATTTTTTATGAGCCATGTGATTTAAATAACATCTTCGTGTATTGATTAGATGTACCTTATAGACAGTGATTAAAAAAGTCCACTTTTAGCCACAGAAATCACACCAGCAATCATAGATTACACCTTTTTCAATATGCATATTTTATTGCGATTGGAACACAGGGATTTAATAGCACATCTGCATTTCGTCTTGTCATCTGATGCCGTTTATAGCTGGTTTCTACAATCCCCCATAAGCTCGCCTCACCTCCTTACACAGTCTCTTAAATTTTACCCTCAGATTCACAGCCAACTGTGCATATTTGTAGGAAGACAGATTCTTGATTGGTTGGTTCGCTGTCAGAGTTGTTTGCTGGTTATCCTTTCTGGCCAACCGGCCATCTGACTGACCTTCAGTATCAAGTGAAGATACGTGTTGATGAAAGTCTGCGATAGCCTGTTGGAAATGCACCAAGTCTCAGCATCATGTAGAAGCCATCATTGATGATTTGACATTTGTGTTGAAGATCAGGATCTTGTTCTTTATCCTAAGTGAAGCAGATTTTTATACAACTCATGTTAAATAGGTACCTTAAGTTTAAAAGTTATGTATACACTTGGAAGCTCATTGTCTATAGTTGCGAAGAAAATTAACTGAATCAAATGAATGGAAGCGTATCGGCGACTGAAGACTACTGGTAAACAGTATATCTGACCGACTGCTTTTAATGAAGAACTTTGCACATACGTCCATGTACCACACAAAGCAAGAGAACAAAGTAAAGAGAAATTCAAAGGAGAGATAATAAATAGGAGTGTGAAGGAAGAAGAATAGTAATATGGAAGAATAATAGAGTTCCATTGGATATGAGAAATCACAAATACATCTCCACCGGCCACTGACAAGGACGATTTCGAGCCATACCACTACCAATAGTCTCCAGACGTCATTGGTTCTTAACAACCCAACCAGAGAGAAGCCTTCACCTCCCTAGGTGGCTGACGTGAACTAACTTTTGTGGATTTCATTGACTAATGGAGCCGTGTTTTCGTTTGACCGCCACTAGCTAAGTCTTTTCCAACAGAATCCTGTCAGCCAGCATCGCCTGTCATCGAGAAAGACGATCGTTGACTAGGCATACGTAACACATGTCCTAACCATCTCAATCGATGTGACTTCACATTCCCATCAACTGATCTTCCCTCCTTTTCTAGCATTCGATGCCTGACCTCAATATTCTTCACTCTATTATACCACCCAACAAGGGAGAAAGAACGTAGACACCTATGATCAAAGACAGTTAGCCAACCCTTGCATGTCTTCCATTCTCAGTGACCATGCCTCACAGCTATTCATAAAGGAGGACGGAGCGAATTGCTGCTTAGCAGTACAAACGTCCTTTGGTCGATGGTCAGTCGAGAATCACGTCTACTAAGCCGGAGATGGCTTAGGTTGGCAAATGCTAAACGAGCCTTCTCTGTCCATGTTGAGATTTCCTCAGAAATCAACCCGTTGGGGCTGGCTGATGCAACCTGCCAAATAAATGTAGTGGTCAACATGCAGTACTACTTCACTCCTGCCTATCTTTAAGCCAGGAGTCAATATAGTCCAGCCGAGTCCTGTAGCATCATCTTACACATTTGACAGCAGGAGCTAATCGCATGCCAGACATTCGAAAAATGCGGTTGGAGGTGTTCAGAAGATTGCATTTTGTCAGCGTCTTCATCTAGAAAAATTATATTATCCGCAAATTCTAGGTCAGCGATATTATTCCCTGATAAAAAATAACGTATGCCAGTATGTCACATAAGCAGTTTAATAAATCATCTGAAAAACGACGATAGGAAAATTAGAAAGCAGTGGTACGATACTTCACATCAAATAAACAAAATATATGTATGACAACTCTAATGTATGATGTGTAAAATCATTGAGTGTGTGGTAGTATTTAAGTTCATATTAATTTGTTTACTAGATATATCACGCACAGAGTGAAACAGTATTATTTACTGGATGACAACGCGTTTCGAAAACAATTTATTCGTTGTTCATAACCACATCAGTTATGATTACACAACTTCAGAACCCTATAGTTCTCTTTCTTCCTTCCCATTTGTCGTTGTGATAGTGGATTTTTCCAGATATTTGGGACAGATATTGGATCGCTCCTATACATGTATTCTCGGTCAATTCCACAAGTAAAGCTTCTGTTATCAGTCTCTCCCCCCCTCATCCTGTTACATTAGATCCCATTGTATGGTTGCGTGCAGTTTAATGCATTGTCATAACTAAGCTGTTTTCTATATTTCTTATCTTATTTGGGTCAACTAACGCAGACCTTGATGCACTAATCTAATTTATGCCATCCTACCGATTCGGTCTATATAGTTGACCTCACAGTCATTGCAGGGGATTAGATAAAATGAATGATTCAGTCTAACGAGCTCCACAGGACCATTTAACCGACAATTTCGCGGGTTTGAATGGAAATGTTATTCCAGCTTTGTTTAGATTTCCATGTAGGGTTTCAAAAATTCTTACTGAAATTAATTTTCATACTCCTGTTGCCAGCTCACCTATCAAATTCATGCCCAGTCTTATAGAACAAAACCGAAGAATTACTGTTAGAAATAAACAAACACACTCTCCGCTTGACCTACGTGATGTGCTTACTGACGATTTGCAATTAGTTGTGTTCTCTCAGCTGGTTGGTTTAATTGCGGAGCTTTCGTCGTCCTTCTGGACAACATCTTCAGAGCAAGTTCTAGCACAAAATAAACTGATTTAAATCCCCCATGAATGATAGAATTGTGTCTCCTAGCAACCATCTTCGTGACTGGTAGTCGATTTACATCTGTTGTATTGATCATTTTTTATTGACTTGGATTTTGAACTTTCTTGTCATGTGATTTACTTACTGACGATTGGTACAAAGGCGTATTTACTATGTAGAAGAAACCTCGTGTCACTTTTAACAATGCAAACGACTTTACTGGACACATTTATCCTGCCCCCCACCGCAATTAAGGGACTGAACGAATTGCACGCGTTGATCACCAGACAACTAGCTGTAACTGATGTACTTAGCTGACACTTAATCACAACGGATTTTGACGTTAATGCGGATTTTGATGTATTCCCTAAGCTTCACTTGGTCACACTGCCAAAACTAGTTACAGTCTACCAACTTCGCACTGTACAAAGCAAAAATGGTTAGATAATAATACCAAAAAAATGTTTTGCCTCATACACTTCTTGTTGATAACTTCAATTTCCCATTTCGTCCTTCTTTCATTTTGGATATATTGAATGCAGAAGAGGACTGAATACAAGTACATCCTAAACCATTCTACGTTTTGTATTTCTTTAAAAATATTCGCTATTCCATTTACGATTGGCTAACTGAAAGTGAAGAGGGCATATAACATTTAAGTGTGCGTGTCTTTACTATAGGTGTGGAATGGAATATGCTTAGGGTGAAGGCTATTCACAGCTGGATATATATATAACAAATAAATGTTATTGTCACTATTATTCTATTTAGGTGTTAGTAACCACGGTTCAATGTCAGTTAGAGAACCGTTGAAAGCTCTTTTTAGTCCAATGACCACACTGACAATCGAACGCAGGACGTTGCACTGATGGTGCAAAGGAATGAAAATAATAATAATAATGATAGTAATAATAATAGTAATTTGTTAACATACTTCTAGTCTACGTCTGCATGTATCAAAGAAACGACGGTAACACGATTCTGGATCACGTCTCAACTTTGGTGCTAACTGGCCCCAGTGAACATTTAACAAAAGTAATCTAGCTGGTTTTGCTGCATCAGGTGTTGATTTTGCACTACTTGATAATGCTGCAGACGGTGATACTGACGCTGACGCTGCTGCTGCTGCTACCGATGATGACGACAACGAATATGATACTACAGCAGGTACAGTCTGAATTTTAGACGAATCACCAAGATTCGGCTTGTTTCCAGTTGTTGCATCAATAACGGTGGACGTCGCATCAGCCTCCACAGGACGATTTGAATGCCCACCGTCTAGACTTGCATCAGATGATGGTAGGGCTAGATATAGATCCCATAAAAATTCTAATCCAATTAGATCGGGTCGTTCAACATGCTATATATTTGAAGAAAAGAGACGGAGAGAGAGAGATAGAGTGAGTGAGTGAACAAACAATTCAGTGTGTTTAGATTATGGGATTTGTGGGCATTTGGATTAGTTCAATTTCAATTGTTGGATTTCATCACGAACCAACTATGAAGCATTGGACAGAGTTGACAAAGACAGAATCCATGGATCGTTGGATTCTGGTCCAAGTGCCTGAACGTTCGACAGGCCTGGTATCCGTGACCTGAAGATTCAATGTTCAATCTCTAAGGGGGTCATGGATTCACACCACTGAAGAGCCCCAAAACAAGATGAAACAGCTGTCCAATGTTTCATGGACAGTGATCCCAGTGATCTTCCAGAGTGATCTTGGTTCATGACGAAATGCATCAACTAGATAACAGTTTATAGTTATTATTATTATTATTATTAATATGAAAAGAAATAAAAGTACTGATAAGGATAAAGGAAGAGGAATAGAATAGACGATATCAGGAACCTCTTCATAGTCACCATCGAAACTAGCAAGTAATCTTTACATTTTATACACGAATTTCCCTTTAAGGAACTTGAACAAAGCAATAGCAACAACATACGATACAGGACAAAACGGATCTATTGGTTATTTCGTCAGACGATATCTTCTCAGCTATATTATCATCTAATAAACATCAATCATCCTTCATATTATCTCATATATAACGAAATGAGTTTAACTCACAGCTGCCTTTTCCTTTTTCTGTATCTCCGAGGTACTAAACTATGATAAAACAATGATAAAAATTTAATATTTGCTTTAAATTCAATTTTGATTTTCCCATGGCTGATTGACTGGACCGAGATGTTCCCCTACCTAGTACGGGCCGTCTCGATGATGTCTGAGGAGTAGCTTGAAGTAATTTGGTAGATGGTGACTAGCATTGGAATTCATGGCGTGGAATTTATCCAGTTTGGGACTAGTCGTCATCTGGATGTAGCTGCATTCCCCAGTGAGTAAATGATAATGTCTTCACAGAGACTCAAACCCAGGACCCAGTGTTCCAAACGCTAAAGTATTATCCTCTAGACTACTTGGAACATGAGAGTCACCTCCTGTGCAACAGGCTTCAGTTATTACTTATTTTTAATTCGGCTTTGATTTTCCCGTTGATTGATTAGGTCGAAATTCAATAAAATCATTAAACTTGATTTAGCTGACAAGATATACCGACGAAATAAATAATGGATCCGTTTTGTCCTGAATCCAGCTTGTCCCGGTTTGCCGGAGTTTTGTCTCCAGTGCATCATTTATTCTTTCAAGGATGATTCGGCTTAGTACTTTACTTGGTGTGGACAAGAGCATTATTCTACACCAGTTATTTCAGAGTCGGATGTAAGTCGCCCTTCTCTGGTAGCCTGACAAGGTAGCCTTTCTTCCAATCCGTAGACACCTTTCCTTCTCTCCAATCCTTTGGCAGTAATGGCGTGAGCACAACTGCCGCAGTCTATGGCTATCAAAGGCATAGACTTACTTTAAGAGTGGTGTGAAACAATCGGTTCGCTGAAAAGTGCACCAGCTTTTCCTGCAAACCATTTAGACTTAATAATAATAATAATAGTTTTATTCTGTACAAAATGCTTACACAATATTTATATTTCTCAGTCTAATTTTTATCACCAAATTTCCTCTTTATCCAGGGTCTTCAAGTAAAATAGCGGTCTGCAGTGTACTACTCGATGCAATGCAGTTCAATCTGAATAAAGTATAGAATATGTTTCCTTCATCTCGAATATACGCGCACCAGTGGTTTGAAAGCCAATAAAAAGGCGCTTGAGAACAGTTCGCGAGCCGCCTGACATAGCAGCCACATTGCAAACTTGGCTCTGATAAAATTCAGTCTGCACCAAACAAAAGGACTAGACGCGTATGCCACTAGTTAGGGTCTAGTCAAATTATCCAATACAGTCAGTCCTACAGGAGGTCAATCGCCAGCCAGAATAGCACACTGGCAACGTCTCTAAATTCAGCACTGGGTGACACAGGTTTGAATCTCAGACGGAACATAAGTTGTTCCTCCAAGATTTCAGATACGCCTTGCTGACCAAACAAGCCAACAAACACGAAACCGAGGTCGAAGGCTTCCCGTCAACTGTCTCTAATCATCGAATAACAACAATAATGCACTGTGTTAAATAGCACATCAACTGGCCCAGTGATTCAAGAGGACTCCTCAAAAGGAGAATATTTTACCTATCAGTACGAAAAGACAAGAAGAGTGTAATTCTGTAGCAAGGCTTTATTGCGTGTGGGGGAGGTGGTTTAAGGCATTACGTACCTAGCCAAACTGAAAATGCCGCAAAACAAGAGCATTTTAATAAATAGTATTGCCTAAACGAATACATCAGAACATCGTAATAGGCGGAATAGTGACAGTATCAAAAGAAAAACAAATGTGTAAGAAATTAGCATACCCATGATTTTGCCACCTGTTTCATACGACCTTCGTTTAAATTGACTTTCTCAAAAAAGCCTTTAAAACATTCAAACCCTAAGAGGAGAAGGGAACAAAACGGATAGCAGTAATAATAATGACAATAGCGACGAAAGTAAAACAGAATAGCAGTAACGTTGTAGCCGTATCGCTTCTGCCCATTAAAACAAACGATACTAAAAACGGAAAACAAGCGTTTATTATCCCAATTGATTAGAAATGTCCATTATAAATTGCAAAAGACTGATTGTTGAACAAAGAATATTCTTTTAGATAACTTCTTCTACACTGTTTTCTACAGTTATATGTGCGCATAGTAATCAAACGCTGAACTGAACATCAGAACTTAAAAGCAAACGATGATCAATAATAACATATATGTGGCAGTGATTAATGCTCATATTGAAATTTATTCATACTGCTTATAAACTTCATATGGATGAAGGATGATATCATGAACAGGGAGATAAAAATAGAGTAGAAGGTTGTATGTGTCTGTGTTAGTGTATAAGTGAATTACTAAGGCTAGATTAAAAAACATCAGTCATTCAACAAGTATAATAAACAAAAATTTTTATGAGCTGTGATCAAAATTTTACCTCGGACTTACAAATATTGGTCTACCTTTGTTAAACACTTTAAACAGAGTGTGTATGTATGTGTGTGTGTGTGTGTGTGTGGGTAAACAGTTGTAAAACATTTCTTAACGTCTCCAATTTTGATCACACCTCATAAAAATATTTTGTTCATTATACTTGTTGAATGACTCATGTTTGGATAAAATTTTTAAAATCAAGTGATCTTCCTGTTATGTTAATTTCGATTAATTTCCCTGAAGAAGGTTGGACCAGATTGCCGAACACAAGAAACGTTGGAATTAATCATTTCAATCTCGCTGAGATTTTACAAATATAATTTTTTACAAATGTCTACTTCTCACTCGGCGCCCAAATATTTTAGAACTATTCTGTCAAATCTTGACGACAGTTAATTTGAAAAATAAAGTTTGTTTCAAATTTGATCGCGTATTTTAATAATTATAATTTGCTTTATTCTAAAACACTACTTGTGATGCAGAATGGAATTCTCAGCATTTCACTACAGTATTGCATCCAGTTTGTACATTAGCAATAAATAAAATTCTACATAGATTATGGGTAGTCTCAGTTAATTTTGACAACAACATATTAACATATCGGTAGCAAAGCCAAAATTGAACAGAATGTTTGAAGGTGTTAGAAAAGTAGATACTAGCATATTTACTGGCGTAAGCGGTAACAAAAATGTCGAGGTATACAGGGTGTAAAAGAACGAAGAAGAATGTTTTAAACAGAGTTTGTAAGGAAGAGAGAAACAAAACAGCGCATAGCAGAAAACAGAGAGAGAGAGAAAAGAAAAAGAAAGAAAGAAAACGTTGTACCTATAAATGATATGAGTAAGAAAGACGAGATCCAATTGTTCTACTGACTATTTAATAAGTTATAGGTATCACGCCTAATGCTTTCTTTATTGCATAGAACACGAGCCAATTAGGGTATGGTTGAGTTTTTTTACTTGTTAGTGTGAGCATATAGTTTTCTATATAGCCTTCTGGTTTTGCCTGATGAAATACAAGGGGAGAGTTGTGAATGAATAGGGTGGTGTGGGTTAGATAGAATGGATTCAGCCCATTTTTCATATGAGTCCAAGTACCTGTCGACCAGAATACTGGGATATCATGGAGAACTGGCAGTTGCTCCCTCCTAGTTTGGGTCTCTTCAGAAGTCTGAACCCACGGGGGTTCGAAACCAAGACCTTCCGGTCACCAGGTAAGCTCGCAGACGATTCAGTCATTGGGAATGGAATCAGTGGCCCGTGAATTTGAACCACTGAGGTCCACCAGGCCGGGCGTGATGGCAAATACTCGCCGATGACATTGGCTGGTGGTCACGCTTGATATATAGACCTAATTGTCTACATATCATTTTTACATCTCTGTTTGTATTACTCTCACCCCACTTATTGATTTATAACCTGATTTTATTTCACCCTACTTATGAACTTTGAAATCCTTTTGGTTGTTCAATGTCATAATTTATCAATGACATTAGTGCTTCTCAGGGTCGTTTTAAACATATACATAGACAAGTGCCGTCAACCTGTTTTGACTGTTGTTTGAGACAGTAAAAGCTCATTTATCAACTTCCAGTTTTTTCTTCTGTCTTTGCTGCCCGGCGGAGTTATTATTATTATTACTGCCACTGTTGACGTGCGATTAAGACAGATTAACCAGCGCATTAAGTTAGTATTAGCTCATAGTCTACTTGATCGTAGTTCCGGTTGTAACAGCGCTAAAATCACCAATTGGTAGGGGTTGGAACACACGGGCCACTGAACAGGGTCCCATTGGCCGAATGGTCTATGAGAGCTACATAACAAACTGGCAAAGGTGGGTTCTATGGGTTACTGGATTGGAATTGCATGCTTGATGTTTAAGCCTCATGGTCTCAAGGCCTACCCCTAGCAGTTTTGTAGGTGTGCGTCTACGGAACAGCCTTCTCTAAAACTGTCTAATATTGAGAATTTGTCTACAGGATTTTGCCTAATTACGGAATCCACCCCCAAATCAAATTAAGTATAATAGGGAAATAATTGTACAAAAAAACAACAGACTTAACAGAATGCAATACAGAATAACTTACCAGCGATTGGACGAAATAACGCAGGATTTGATTTCAAAATTACTTTTGTGAAGACGAATGTTTGAGCATCAGTGTCAAGAAAATTCAAGCATGACGAGAACCAAATAAATGCTTGCTAGAGTGTAGCAAATTGTAGTAAAGTGTTATGAGAGAGAAAAAAGGAATTGAAATGAGAACAAATTAGTTCAGCGAAGAGTCTCTTTTCGGCGAATTCATTCACTTAGCTGTACAGTCGCAAATATATATACAATTATTTTGTGTGTGTGTGGGGGGGTTGTTGATTATATCATCAAAGTAATAAAGAGATTAAAATGTGTGATTAATAATCAAAGTTGTAACTAAGTGGGGTGAAGATTGGTAAGATGTGAGTAAAGTTACGTAATACAGACATGTTTAGAAAGATTAGATGCCAGTGAAGGAGTTTGGAGACAAATTATGAAAATAAACTAGATAATAGGTGAAAAGATTGAATGGGTTATTTACTAAACTTCTCATCAAAGCTGTACAATTAAATAGTGTTCAAAAAGGTCATGGAAATGTCAGTAAAGGTCAGTTTATTAACACCATTCAGTAACAAAATAAATAAAATAACATATCATAAAGAAAGATGGATAGATTGTGACACTTAGGTAAGTAGTCTTGTGTAATCTAAAAACATTAAGCGATGAGTAGTGTTCAGAAATGATTATCATTAAAACTGTAAACTTTCACAAAAAGGAGTTTTATTCATAGAAGTAAGAGATTCAGAATCTGTGTAAGGTTTATTTTTCTGTCCACAGAGAAATCTCTCACTGTACACAAAAAAAAGCCATGAACTGTGTATGAAAAGTGGTTTGTCCATTTTATTTTATTACTATGACCTATGACCTTAAGTCTTTTTTGACTTGTGCTCACAGTCGGCGACCTGCTTACAACTTGGGCTACCAAAAACTTTTATTTCTTTATTTTTTTTTAAGAGTTGATCACGGATTGATATCAGTTAGAGAACCATTGAAAACCAGGGAGTACTGGACAGCTGCTGTTTCATCCTAGTTTGGGAATCATCGGCAGTACGCACCCACTACCGGGGTTCGAACCCAGGACCTTCCTGTTACAAGACAAGCTCGTATACCATTCAGCTACTGGGACCCGATTCGATGGCTCATGAGTTCTAACTTCTGCCAATTCGTGATTTAGCGCAACCCCAACCATTGTCGTTGGTGGGACATCCATCCACACACGTGATACCTAATTGGACCTCACTGGTCACAACTTCGCAATAGAATTCCAGGAAGCTCCATCCTGTAGCAAGTCACTAGCGAGCATCAGATTAATTTTCTATAGTTTGGTTTGTAAGGGTTAGTTATGTTTTTACGAGGTGATCACAGATTGTCCAGTACTCCCTGGTTTTCAATGGTTCTCTAACCGATATCAATCCGTGATCAACTCGTAAAAAAAACATAACTAACCCTTACAAACCAAACTATAGAAAATATTTCTTCATTGTATATATTTTCTATCATTCGGTTTGTCTTAATCGATTCAAATATGACCTCCAATGGTATTATCTACACTCTTACATCTGAGCTACTGACACATTTTAGGCAACAGAGTACTGAGGAATTATTTCATCTTACTTGACATCAGCCTGTCGTTGAATCTAATGCAAAAGTCCTAAGCTTCATTTGCAGTAATTTAACCCTCTTAACTCAAAACGATAATGTATTTTACGAGTTGACCACGGATTGATATCAGTTAGAGAACCACTAGAAACCAGGGAGTACTGGACATCCAACTGTTTCATCAGCCTAGTTTGGGAATCATCGGCAGTACGCACCCACGCCGTGAGATTCGAACCCACGACCTTCCGGTTACAAGGCAAGCTGGTTCGTATACCATTCAGCCACTGGGACCCGATTCAATGGCCAGTCCATGAATTCTAACTTCTACCAATTCGTAATTGAGCGCGACGACCAACCAATTTCATCGGTGAGACATCCATCCTCACACATTGGACTGGATGGACCTTATTGGTCACGACTTCTCACTAGAACTGACTCCAGGAAACTCCGTCCTGTAACAAGTCACTAGCGAGCATCAGATTAAAATTTTCAGTAGTTGGTTAGTAAGGATTCGATTTGTTTTTACGAGTTCTTCAACTGATTTCAACCCGTGATCAACTCGTAAAAACAAATCTAATCCTAACAAACCAACTATTGAAAGATAATGTATTTGCTTTTGTTATAAAATATATACACTCGCCTTTAAAAACTAAGAGATTCTATAGTAACGAAAGTGATGAGTTGTGACAAACGTAATTGTTAAACTTTATACAACTGGTTCCCTTGATAAATTTCGATAGAGAAAGAAAGACCAGATTTGCAGTATAAAATGATATCATTCTATTTCACAGGTTCTCATCAGCTGCAGACTACCTGAAATTACAAGTCCTACCCCTCCTCTTCGTCAAAGGATGAGTCATCTAGGGGTTTGTTTATGAGGTACCTTGACTACTCACTCACTCACTCACTCACTTGCTTACTTGCTTGCTTAACAGGTAGAGGTGCATGTTAGATGATTGACCATCATCCCAAATTCCATTTGAAAAATGTGATGTATTTGAGCAATACATTTCAAACAATCTGGTCCCCTACACATTTACTTGTCAAGTCAATATTAGTACTACGTTGAAAATAAAAGCCGATTAGAATACACAAATAAAACAAAAAAGATTTAAGAATTAATAAGAATAATTAACAACACCAGGTTTGGTTATCTATCTATCTAATCAGATAAGGATTAGGCTTACCAAGGTAGGTTGAGAATGATAAAGTATTATTTCTGTACATACAGTTGGCAGGGGAGAGGGGCTTGGCGATTAAACCACCAAGCTCATACCATACACATTTTAACCTGTGGTCATGTAGTTTCCATATACTTTATTGAAATAGGCTGAAGCGATAGCTATTCGCAAATTTCAGCGCTTCACTGTGTGTTCAAAAACAGTTTATTATGGCTCTTAACATACCTTGGTGTTAATTCTATTATGGATAAAATTTTATTCTGATTAAGTCACATAGTGTGCGTCGGTAGCACAGCGGTTAGGACGCTCGCCGACCATTCACATGGTCCGGGGTTCGATCTCTGGCCGACACACTCCTTTGCCTCGCTAAACCAGAAATAAAGCTGGTAAAGAGGAAAGGTTAGCAACCTCCTCCTGTAAAAATAAACACTGCTACAGAAACTTCAAGCCTCCAGCTTGAAGCCCTATGTTCCACTGAGAACGTGAAGGAATAAAAAAAAGTAATAATATGAATAAGGTAGTGAGTGAGTTTTGGTCAGGGAAACTGGGGTTCCGGGAATGAGTTCTAAGTGGGGTCATGGGTGCGTACTCCTGAATAGTCCAAAACTTGGACGAAACAGCTGTCCAGTGTGCCCTGGATTTCAACGGTTCTCTTACTGGGATTAAACGTTAAACCAATCAAACGCCTACAAACCAACACTTTTGGTACTAACCTAACTTTGCCTGGACAGCTACTTCCCTCAGCTGTTTCGACAGATGTGAATATTTCTGACTTCACCAGCCGACTAACTAGACAAATGCTCCAACTTGAACCAACAGCACCTTGACAACCTCTCCGATGAGATCAGGTCAACAAACGCCTGGAAACCTGCAAATTTGTCTTTGTTCAAGTCGACGCCATCAGGAAAGGGTTGCAACCTCCTTACTAAGGTCCCTTCTAAGTCATTAAACGTTCAGGAAAACACTTTACAATGAACAAAAGTGGAAAACAGGAGAATATTTCCATTGATCGAATGAAACCAGCCTACACAGACAGCGACTTCGAACCTACACCGACATCTGCAAAAAACAAATAATCAAATAGTTGATTCAACTCCAACGGCACCAATTCTTATCCATCCTCCATATCAAACACGTAATGGTTGGCAAATCAGTAAACCTGCCCACTATGTTCATTTTGTGGACTAATAAAGAAATTATATTTTCTTCGTTTAGACACTGTTATCATGACAATTACTATTTTTTGTACACTTTTATGTCACTGTTAATATAAATGATCATTATCACTATTATTTATTTATTTATTCATTTATATGTACCTCAGCTACAAGACAGGTATCTGTGTTTTTCAGAAATGACCTAATTTTTAATCCATTTTTTCACCCATACTAATGACTGCATGCATAGAAATCTATGTTTATACATTTCTAACCTTCTTTGTTGTTCATAGCTTCTGCAAAGAGAAACCAACCTCATTTAATTGACATGAACTTCAATTTCATTTTTTTTTTGTTGTCAAACTATTTGTAAATGCGTTCAAACTTTAAACGATCCAAATACCTTTTCGCGTACATGCATGCTATTATGTACCCTTATTATTATTATCATAAAAATGGTTATTACTATTATTATTTATTACTATTATTATTTACTTCACTAACAGAGACAGTCCCCAGTAGTCTCTTCGGACCTCTAGGGGGGGAGCCGTATGGAGTACGTAACAATATGATTGTACACTTTTTTGTTAGATGTTGAAATTAGAAACATTGTACATGACTTTTGTTTCAAACGATTCATGTTGGAATATAAATAACTTTCCAGTACAATCTAAAATACAATGTACTGCTGGTCGTTTCGTTTTCTCACTGGTCTACACTGTCTACTTGCTTCACTCATAACCGTGTTGTATACTGTGGACTTTCGCGGGAACCTCTTATCCTCATCCGAAGGCTATTCCACAACAGGTACACAGCTTCTGCCAGTAGACATGACTCAAGCGGTGAACGCTTCTGTAGAATATATTAATAATTTGTAGCCGTGTACTTTAAATGTATATCCAAGTAACCGTTTAATTAATATAACTCACTACAGTATTTTTTATAATATATGCTGTTACACTATCATCTCATTAAGCTGGATTTTCATCCACACACTTGTTAGGTTATTGAGATTGCTAGATAGTCCTCTACATACTTAAAAACAACCAGTGACATAAAGCTAACTTCAGGTGATATTTAGATTTCATGAGTTCTGTTAGCAACATTTATTCACTACAGACAACCCCACCTATGGCATATGATTTGGATTTTACTGCATATTCTTAATAAAATTCAGACAGTACATGCATCGTGACATTAGGAATCCAAGAGGATCGGGTGAAGGAATATTCACCTTTAAATTAGTTCCCCGACTATGTCTCTACTCTAATGAGTACATCAATTTCAATACAATTCAGGCATTTCCATATCCTGAGGTTTTAAGTTTGTTAACAATAACCAATGAATATCCGTAAATCAAAGTGGCGATAGTTAGGCAAGAAAACTGACGCAGTAATTGAAACGTAGAGATATTTGCAACAATCTAGAAAAAAACGGAAGTTTAAGTGAGAAGTAAACCAGTACGCAAGTTCATTACATAATAAACGACTAAAAACGAAGTAGACAGAATAAGACAGTTAGAACAATAATATACCCTGTCACTGGCTCAAAGTGAAGGGGGAAACTGTAATTTTGTTCTTGTAATCATGTAATGATGCCCAAGGTAAAGAAGATGGCTGCGAAAATTTCCTATGAACACATATATATGGCTTCTTCAGATAGATTCTGATGGCTTCGGTTATGCGTAGAAGAAGGAATCAAAAAGCGAAATTAAGATTAGTCGAAATATGACAGAATAATTCAGCTGTCTTGTTAATATCAACTTTATGTGCAGTATCTGTAAGATGTGCTATAACCCACCTGCAAATAGACCTTGTTTGTCTCATGCTTAACCATGCAAGATGACGTTCAGAGATTTGACGATGAATATGGTTAACTGCACTCAAGAGGAGGTAGTTTATCCTTATTTCTCAAGTGTAAAATTGTGAAGACACAGTGTACCTCTGCCGCTCTTTCTACAGCAATCTTTTGTCGTTACATTGTTGTTTTATTAATGTTGTTGCGAAGAAACTTCAGTCTTAAGAACAAAGATTTCTTTGAAACTGATACCATACTAACTCACCTTGATAGGAATTTCATATTCATATTTCATATTACTATAACTATTACTATTAAGGAATTCTTCCGGCTAACCACTTTTTCCACGTAATCTCTTCACAATCATGAACTCCTCATTGAGACATTCATTTAAGCAGATTACCCTAGCTGTATGAACCGAATGCGACTAAATTCCGCTTACATTTCAAAGTTACAAACCTCAAAAATGAGTATACTGTCGTCCATCTGCGTCTGTCATGAGATCTACCTTAAGATCTAAGAATAAACAAGATGCATTGATTTTATGCTTTAGAGAATAATACGATTGGATAATGTATATTGTGATTAGAAGCATACATCGAAAATGGATTATTTTTAGATGAATTAATATAGACTTTTAGTTAGCAGGTTTACAGAAACAGTGCTACAAAGAACTTCTAAGTAATGGTGTGAACATTAATGGTTCATTTGTAGTTACGGGTAAAATTCTCAGTATAGTTCTTACAATATTCAGAAGTGATAACACAAGTGAATTTAAAATCAATGGTAACAATTTCACAATGAAGTTTCCACAAGGCATACATAGTTTACATAAAGTAGGAGCACGCTACTGCAGTATAACAGTATTCAGTCAATAAAACACACAAACACAAAAGATGACTTACTTTGGTAACGCATTCCTTCAGACAACTTGTCAAGAATCTTTGGGCCTCAGGATACAAATCAAATGTTTTCAAACCATTAAATCTTATTTCATGGATGGTACCCAACAAACAGAGACCAAGCGATTGTGATCTCAAACAAGGTATATCCCATTGTTCAGTATAAATTTGACTCTGAAGTCTGTTGAATTCAGATGAAGTAAAACCATGACTTATATCATGATCCTTAACCAGTTTATCAAGTGGACTTGTACTTTCATCTAAAACGGTACCACTGGTTTCATTGCGTTCGCCCTCCGATAACTGTTTAGCATCATTTGAACCCTGATAAAAGAAGAAGTATCGAGGAAAACTAGAAGTTGAGATAAACAGTGCCGACAGTGGGGATTAATAAAAGTAGCTATGCCCCATTGTATATGTAATGTGTTTTTACTTTGTTATGAATACCGTTTCTCTACTACTTTGTGCTTTTATGGAATGCGACAGCCGGAAATGATGGACTTTTGTGTGGGGTTCTACTTTTACAAGCCAGGTCACTTCACAAGTCGGATTGTTTAGAAAGATGAGGTTATAAAGAATAATATTTTAATAAAATCAGTGAATGAAGACTGAGTGTTTGATAAAATAGATGCGTCTTTAATTGACAAGAAATCAAGAGCTAACAACGAAGAAACAATTAAAGGGAGTTTGGATTCCCACAACTGTTACAGGTATCTGAAGTAAAATGTTAGTACACTCAAAAATGAATAAAGCATTGCATTCAACAGGGATATTTATAAGTGAATGCGTTATCCGAAAGACAATTTTCAGTAGATAACTAGCTACTCCAGACTGAGGTAGGTAATGTGGATAGGTTGCTAATACAACCCCTCCTTAGGAAACCATTCACAGAGTGAGCAACTTAAGAATGTGAAATGCGATGGCGTATAAGCCATTAGAAGTATGTAGAAACATTTTGTTAGTATTTATGAAATCAATCTGAAATCTTACGTACCCAAATATGAGTTTATTTACTCCATCGAAAGAGAAAGAATTTCTTAGATATATATGTACATAGAAACAAATAACACTAACTAATTCATCGGAGCTAAAATTTATTTTCTTCTAGGAAAGGGTTAGTCTCCAGTGTAATATGGGCAATCTTTTCTTCTTCGTTAAATATATCACAAGACAGTATTCACAAATAAAATAACTCCGTAAAAAGATGGATTTCCTCCCGGCAGTAATTATCCAAATCAAAAACAACATAGCGGAAATCTCCACTAACTTCTTGGGAAGATTTTATGCATGTATAGCAAAATCTACCATCAACATACGTCTTAACATCCCGATTATCGGTTTGTCGTTGAAGAATTAACAAACCAACTACTTTGTTGAGTACATATTTTTGTCAACCGATACTTCCTAAAACGTCTCCTCCATGCATCTCTTAGTACCCCACCTTCTTTAACAGTTTTAAATTTTTGTGACACTCGTTATAATTGTTAACTTCCCTGGAAAAGCCTAAGTAAAAATAGAAATAGATGAAATACCGAAATTTGAAGGCTTGTCAAGGTATTTGTTACTAGCGTTCAGTCAAAAACTGTAACCTAGTGATCGGATAAATTTCCAACTTCTTTATAAAAAGGAGGATCACTATGTTAGCTTTTACTGAGAAATGATGGGTAGAGATACTCTAAACGAGTTACTGATTCTTTTGTTAAGATTTTATTTTTTGTTAAATATGTTAGTCAGTGACAAAGCAGAAGTTAAAGTCTAATCATATAAAGAAGATTAGCATATCTCTCTTATTCCACAAGAGTCAAAAAATAAATCTAGTGAGAAGCCAAATCATCTAAAAGCCTCTCTAAATTTGAGAATAAGACACCCATATAAGGCTTGGGACTCTAAAGACATGCTGAAGGATACAAAGAATGAAGGTGCAGTTTACTTAAGATTCACTGACGTCTAAAATCAACATCGTTACCCAGGATAACACATTACGAATTTGAAATTCAGCAGTACTTTTACAGAAAAGTGAGAAATTCAAAAGTCCAACTTTGTAAGCACATGTGATAAGGATATAAAACAATCCTTCTTGAACGCTTTACAGAATTCGTGAGCATTTTCATAGCTTAAATCGAACAGACGATATGTAAAACAAGTGGTGATCACCACTTGTAAATCGATGCTTATATTTTTCTAAGAACTAAAATAAGGAATCAGAAGTTGGTTAAAAATTGAAGAAACCAATTCAGAATGAACGTTCATCTTAAATAAACGAGCAAAGAATAGATACTTTATTTAGAAACGTTACATAGAGTGTAACATAAAAACAGTCTATAATTGTTATTCTAGATATGCGCTCAATGAAAAGCATTAATTCAGTATACAAACGAACATTTATTCTTTGCCAGAGTAAGATCAGGATTTAAATCTGCCAGGTTGGTTAATTTCTTTTCCGTTCCGGTGGTAAATATATTAAATAATATAAACTTAAACAGCGGGAAATAATGTGCCTAACAAATTGAAATGCTGAGGCTTTACCGTAGAAAACAGTAAAAACAAGTCTTCTTACCTTTTCAGGTGTGAAGGCACTATTATTCTTCGAATATATGCCTTCAGACGCTAATACAGAAAGTACTTCGTTTACATCTGAGCTGCAGGACTTTAGAACAGCTCTTATATCGTCCTCATCGACAAAACCCACCATCATAATCTTTCTCAAATTCTCTTCGTCACTCATGATCGGAATAAGTGAAATATCGACTTGAAATCCAATGTAAATGGAAAAGAAAAGCGATATAGGCAGATTTTGATTGGCTGTTGGCTAGCTGGCTTCTTATTGATCTAAAATATAAGTAAAAATGGCAGTCTCTTTATTTTGACACGGAAATTTACAGTCAGTTTAATGTCAGTCTTAACTTACCATAATATAACGGCGTGTTAATTTTTTTGGTGTGAGTGTAGTGTGATAGTCACATGCTATTTGGATGCATTGGTGGTGTTGAAAGTACACTGAGATGTATGAGAATGTCTAGTAAGTGAATATAAGTTAACAATAATTTTGATGCATTTATTTTAAGTCCAAAATAGGATGTATGCATTTTTTGTTACTATGGGAATAGAATTCAACAAAAATTGCTAAACGTATAATGTGTCTTTAATTTTGGACATGTAGATATATGTATGTATTAAGTGATCTACTTTTTTAAGTTTTCAGTTTAGTGACCTGTGGGAATTGCACATACTAGGTCAACATAAATAAAGTAAATTTCCTATGTCACAAAAGTGGTATATAAGCAATGAAATACATACAACTGTTCATTTACTTGAAATCATTTTGTTGTGCACGTTAGGAATTGTTAGAACCATTAAATGATGTTGCAAATTACTCCTACTGCGTCTACTTCACGGAATGTGTCATCTATATTGTGTGATGTGACAGCTACATTCCAAAGGATAATGCTTTGCTGTGTATTTTATACATGGATGCAATTTAAGGAAGCTTTAGATGCATTTATGAAGGTACTAACTAAGTTGTTCATTATTTCTTTGAAAGGAATCCAACACATGGTATCGGGTTGATTCCAGTAAGAAGGATCCATCCGGTCCTATGGAATACGAGCATGTGACGTTTAAATGCACTTTTGGAAGTAAACGTGCTTCCCGAGGTGCTGGCTTTAGGAACAGAGGGTAAGTTTACTGTCTATGTAAATTTTAACAATTTCAAGGTTCAAAAGTACTTCATGTCAATCAGTAATTACAGTACGGCGCAAATCCAACATATACAGGATAACAAGGTACCAAACTGTGCATAACCATCCATGCACAGCAAGTTTCATGTCCATTGATGTATCTAGACGTCGGTTATCACCACAAGAAATGGCAGTTATACAACCGTTCATTGAAAGAAATACTGATGTCCATGAAGTAATGGATTTAGCGCATGATAAATTTGGCAAAGCCCTGCTGTATAATGATATTAAAAACATGCGGGCTAGGATGTATAAACTTGTTAAAAAGTGGTTGTATCGAATGGCGCACACGCGCAGTTACAACAGGTAGGTTAACAAATCAGAATTTATTGCCAAAGGTTTTGGACTTATCTAAATCTCATTAGTGTTATAGACGCTGAGGCTGGTGCTTACATTAGAAGGTACTGGCTAAGAACAAGGAAATATTGGGCTGCATCGTGCAACCGGTTCGCCATCACCATGGGGAACAACACTAACAACAGAGTTGAGAATGCTCACAGGCAGCTGAAGAGATATTTACGTAAAGGCGATCCGCTGGAACCGACTCTATGGAAAATATGGAAGTGGATTGACCACACAACCATGCGTAAAATACGTCACGGCCAGTGGATGCTTTGTAAATACTACAATTACGATGTAAGTTTGAAGATAATTTACGATTTTTCCTAGGTACATACTTCACTGCAGCCCATATTACGGCGTCTCACACCCTTTGCTGTCAAGAAAGTTTTCTTAGACTTGCAAAGGCGATCCTTCTTCTTTCATTCAATATCTTCCACTTCAGTTAATTACGCAGAAGGTGGTCACATCTTCTTCGTAAACAGGGATGAGGCGAAATGCACGTGTTGGACATACTGTGCATACAATTTGCCATGTGCTCATGTCGTTGAGGCTTTCTTAAATTCATATCTAACCTGTGGTAAGTTCCATTTCCTTAATTGTTACTCTTAGATATTCTGAGAAATAGTGACAGGTGGACACGTCAGTATAACACCATGGAGGACATTCCACGAGCCATCCGCCTAACACCGGAATCGAACAACGCGTTCAGAAATGCTTATGAACGTTTAAGACGTCGTCTCAACATTCTGAACCAAAGAAATCCGGATGCTGCACTGCGGGAAGTAGCAGAGTTCACAAGAAGGTTGGACACTTTGCTAGCAAATGAACCGCAAACAACTTTGAGATTACGACGTGCCCCTGTTAATCGATCATTTTTGTGAAAATATTTGCATTACCTTATTGTTTCCATTTGTATTCACAATATAAATATCTATGTCTAAACTGTGTTACACTTCCTTTCCCTTCAAATGCCTGAGAGCGACAGTTTAAAGCATACTTTGGTTGATTGTTTCCTGATGAGAGCGCTTGGCAAGTCAGTTACAAATTACACCGATCTGTGCCTTATGTAATGCGTTTTATCAGCCGAAGATTTCTAGTTCATAGCATATCGCGAGTAACGGCGACTAATACGATTTATTGCCTATACCGTAATCACCCCAGGCTTACAACAATTCTAAACTTATTCTAACCTATCCTTCGATAATGCTTATTAAGAAGAACAAGGTGATGAGTTACAGCCGGTCATGCGGATAAAACAATCCCACAGTTCTGGTTCAATCACATTATCAAACAATGGAAAACCAGTTAGGGAGTTCATTTATTAAATAGTGTTACTATACTATCATAGTGTACGTGAATTAGCTCAACGATTGCAGGTTTACCATAATCCTTAACTACCAACATAATAAGTGGGAACTTCTGCCTAAAAACAACCTTACTAGTAGCATACAGTGACAGAAAACTGACCTACATACTCCAAAACAAGCAAAACGTTCAAAAAACCTTTAAAATTCAATGGAAAACGAATTCACGAAAACATATAACCAGTAGACGCAGGAACCCATCATGACCTTGAAACTGACTATAGCGTCTTTCAATGGAAAAAGGTACACCTTTTGTTTTTGGGCGGACAATTTGCGATTCAAGTTGAAAAGCTTAAACAAACTCACCTCTAAAATTCAAAACATTGCGTCTGATTGCACCTCTTGTAAAATATTTTAGCCATACATTTGACGGACAATAACGGAGGTAATACTTTAACATTGCATGCTTAATATAGATCAAAGTTATTACTCACAAAGAGTTATAAAGAGTCAAAATGGTTCTTCTTTGGGAATCATTTGAGCAGGAATCATTCCAGTCTTCCGTTTTTGACCTCAAGTTACGTTTCCAGAAAACGTGTTTGCCCTTATTTAAGGTCTGGGTTTTACTTAGAACTGCAATCTGAATATTTTCTTTTCTTACCAGAGTGATAAATTTTGATGGTTCGCAGTCAGTCGAAAGTTAAATTTAGCATATGTCCAATCTACCTCCATATTTTCTTAGCAATACGTTGTTGGTAATTTTGCTGACAATTCCCTTGTTATTTGCTCACTCTCTCTAGCTGGTCATCTGATGTTAAGTACCTAGGTAACTAAGGCAGTTTTTGATGGAATACTGCAGTCTGTTAGGAATGTCTATATTGATGTACACGTCAAGTCTCCGGATCATATAGAAACACTCACTAACTTGACACCAGTGTTTGAAATTTCGATCTGTTCCCTTGTTCTGAATGATGTAAATCTGCACACTTATTTCAAAGTATTGATCGCTTATCCGTTCTAGACTGGTTTTAACATACTCATACTCACCCAGGTGTTCTATGTTTGAAATGATGACGCCCAAGTAGTTAAGTGAAAGCGAACACTTCTCTCGGATTTCTCCCATTCATTCATCACACCTATCTCTCCTGTGTTCATATGAAATCCTGACTTCTATGACTTCTTGTTGGTTTTCACTTATAAAATCTTTAGTTTATGCTACGAGACATCAGTTGTTTGCGAAGTCCAGATAATCAAGGGTGTTGTTGTCAATTCACGATATCAGTGTCTTCTCACTCACAACGGTCTGTCGCGCTATCTTCTGCTCCACAAACAGGAAGATCATTACGAATGATCGACAGCCTTGTCTTACTCCTGTCTTTACTCCAAGAACTTTGACATGCTCTCTGAGGTGAATCATCTGACATATAGCATTACTGTGAAGCTGTTGAATATTTGCTTCACTTCACTTCGTAGTGAAGAAACAGCTTACAAACTGCTTTGAAGTTCATATTATCACAGGTCTTTTCACCTTTGACGAAGATCAACTGATGTTCTAGGCTCTGTTCGCCAATGTGGCGCATTGTTACGATTCGGTCCACACAGGATTTGGTTTTACTGAATCTAACCGGTTTCGGGAGGACCACATCCCACTCCCACTGGAATGGTGTGACAATAATTTTACTTCTCGCAGGGAACCCGGTCATTGTTACAGGCATGAAAATATGTGGGTTACAGATGAATGTCAATAATTAGGATATGTAAATTCTTCTTAGAAAATTAGATTGTCCAAAATATTTGATAAAGATGGCAATCTGAGATAGCTTGTGCTAAAAAGAAACATAAAGGCTTCAAAATTTACACACATTAATGGTTTATGAGGTATAACGGACACAATATAGACTGCAGTGACGAATTCTGAGTCCGAAAATTCCGTCAAATTCACAAACACCAATGGATACAAAATTTCTCCTTAATGAATTCGAGTAAAGGAAGAACAACAGAATAAAATGGTGCCTTCATTTATTTCATTGGGTTCTCACCAGCTCCTTACAGACCAAAGTTATTATTGTGCACTACAGATGTTCTGGCTCTGCGGGATTCATTTTTCAACTTTCTTTCGGAAATTAGCCACGTTCCTCACAATATCCATATATCCATACTTAACAAAGATTATATTCTAGCGCTCGGAACCATATATAGTATTCACTTGTGGAATCTACAACCCGTAATCTTCTGATACCCTTTCTAACTACCTGGAACTAAGGATTTTATCCCGAGGAAACACTGTTAAAGGAAAGTCTGACTTTGTTTTGCAATATATAGCTGTTTATCGTTGCTTTTGA